CCTGCTCATCCTGGGTCCGGGCAGCAACCCCAGCATCAGAGAGCGAGCGAGCATGCCACAGCGGGCAAGGTGTTCTCTGAATCTGAGGGAAACCATCTGGAGCCAGCTGAGATGGGAGCAGAGCTCTGAATTCTGCAGAGCCTATCCGGGGGTTGTCACAGATGAGGGGAATAAACACAAATCCTCGCAAACACTTCTCTGTTTGCAGGACAAGGCACTTCCCTCTTAGTGTAGAAGCCCCCACTCGTCCCTCTTTCCAAAGGCTTTTATTGAAAGGGTTATCAGTGGGGCTAGGTTAACAGGAATGCACAGGTTATCTCATTACATCCATATGTTAATGTTCACAGAGAATGGGTGATGTTTTGAAGAAAACGAATGGCAGGAACACACTGATTTGCATGGGTCCAAGAGGAGACTAGTAAACAAGAGAGACAACTAAACATGAGAGCGTAGTAAACATAAGAATGCCCAAGGGTATAGGGTTAGGGTCTGTGAATAATGTAAATTTCCTTCTCAGCATAAGCTGGCTAAAGCTTTTGAGGGAAGAACAAAGCACACTTTAAAGAATTTACTTTTAGGCCTGATTTCCACGGAACCACCAGATCTGGTTTAGGGCTGATTCCTTCCTGTATCGTTTCGAGCCTGAGCCAGGTTGGGGGAGGGAGCCACCAAGAGGCAAGGAGACTTCTTTCGGCTAGAATGAGGACTCCAGCCATGTCCAAGCCAAGCCAAGAGGTGTGGGCCTTTTTGCTCTTCCTCCATATCCCCCAATTCCTTGTCTGCTGCCAATAATCGATTAGAATCTGTCTTAGGTTGTATACCTCAGCTCGAGGTAACTTACCTGTCCTCGATTAACCAATCCTGCATGGCAAAGCAAAGAGCTACACCCCTGCCAGCGGGGGACAGGCCAAGTCTCCTCAGGACCCTGCCTTCCGAAGGCCTCCTGGTTATTTCCAGCCATGGGGCCCTCCAGCCTGTCCGCAGGGTTACAGTTCCTGAAACCAGACAGGGCATTTCCCAACACCAACCTTTTCATCCAAATTGCTTCCCTGGGAGAACATTAACTTCCTGCTCAGCTGGAAAAATGCATAATGGCAGGAAAGCAAAAGAAAATATTATGAACTTGAAACTCTATAAACAATAAAGGTAAAAAATAAAAGAATTTTAAATGACAACAGCCAACACATACACAAAAGAAAAAGAAAAGAAATGCTGTAGAGGGAATTATTTTGAAAGTAATAAAAATTCACTCCAAAGAATACCAGTAGAGAAGGAAACACCCTCTAATTCAGCAACACGTTAAAAACTGAACTCTATTTTTTAAATTTACTTTTGCTGTGTTCAATTACAGTTGTCCCAGTTTTTCCCCCATTGCTCTCCCTTGCCCCATCCACTCCCACCATCCCTGTCAGTACCTGCATGTTGTCCATTACCTTTATACATGTTCCTTGACTAGACCCTTCCCCTTCTTTCCCCTGTTATCCCTTTCTCCTCCCCTCTGGTCACTGTCAGTTTGTTCATTATTTCCATATCTGGTTCTATTTTGTTCATTTGTTTGTTTTGTTGATTAGGTTCCATTTATAGGTGAGATCATATGGTAATTATCTTTCATCACCTAGCTTATTCCATTTAGCATAATACCCTCTAGTTCCATCTATGCTGTCACAAAAGGCAGGAGTTACTTCTTTCTTTCTGCTGCATAGTATTCCATTGTGTAAACGTACCACAGTTTTTTCATCTTCTCATTTACTGATGGGCACTTAGGCTGTTTCCAGGACTTGGCTATTATAAACAATGTTGCTATGAACACTGGGGTGCATAGGTTCTTTTAAACTGGTGTTTCAGGATTCTTAGGGTGTAATCCCAGCAGTGGGATCACTGGATCAAAAGGCAGTTCCACCTGTAGTTTTCTGAGGAAATTCCATACTGTTTTCCACAGTGGCTGCACCAGTCTGCATTCCTTCTAACAGTTCACTAGGGCTCCCTTTTCTCCACAACCTTGCCAGCACTTGTTGTTTGTTGATTTGTTAATGACGACTGTTTTGAGCCGTGTAAACTGGTATCTCATTGCGGTTTTAATTTGCACTTCTCTGATGGCTAGTAATGTTGACCATTCTTTCATATGTCTCTGGATCCTCTGTATGTCCTTCTTGGAGAAGTGTCTGTTCAAGGTCCTTTGACCACTTTTTAATTGGATTGTTTATGACTCCTGGTGTTGAGTCATATATGAGTTCTCTATACATTTTGGAGATCAAACCTTTGTCCAAGGTATCATTAGCAAATGTTTTACCATACAGGTGGTTTTCTTTTCATTTTGCTGATGTTTTCTTTAGCCATGCAGAAGCTTTTGAACTTGATGTAGTTCCATGTATTTATGCTCTCCTTTATATCCCTTGCCTTAGCAGATATATCAGTGAAGACATTGCTGCATGGGATATCTGACAATGTTATTGCCTATGTTCTTCTCTAGGACTTTTATGGTGTCACAGCTTATATTTAAGTCTTTTATCCATCTTGAGTTTATTTTGGTGAATGGTGTAAGTTGGTGGTCTAGTTTCACTTTTCTACACATATCTGTCTAGCTCACATAATTTTCCAAAACTGAATCAAGAAGAAACAGAAAGCCTGAATAGACTGATAACAGCTAATAAAATTGAAGCAGTAAGCAAAAAACTCCTGGCACACAAATGCCCTACACTGGATGGTTTCATAGGCAAATTTTACCAAACATTTAGGAAAGAGCTAACTCCTATCCTATTCAAGCTATTCCAAAAAATTCAAGAGGAAAGACTCCCAAACTCTTTTTATGAGGCCAGTATTATCCAAATGCCAAAACCAGGTAAGGACACAGCAATGAAAGAAAACTACAGGCCAATATCACTGATGAATATAGATGCTTAAATCCTCAACAAAATACTGGCAAACCAGAAACAATATATTAAAGAAACCATACACTATGATCAAGTGGGATTCATCCCAGGGATGCCTGGATGGTACAACATTCACAAATCAATAAACATAACACATCACATGAACTCTATTTTTAAAATGCAATAATAATAACTAAACCTCTGAGTCTTTTCAATGTACCAGACATGTGCTAGACACGCTGTATAGTCTATCAGTTAGTCTTACAATATTCTAAGATATTTACTATTACCCTCCCATTTTACAGAGAAAGAAATTGAAGGAGACCAAAACCACATGGCCAATAAACATGGGGCTGGCACTCAAACACAGGCCTGAGAGAAAGCAAAGTCCAGGCTTTCTCACTCATTGCACTCTGTCACCTCACATTAGTGGAAGGTTGGCTGACTCCAGAGCAAAAGTGCAGGAAGTTAGTGTTATTTTTACTTGTAAGAATATTGTCTGCAATATTTAAATAAGAACTATTAAAAAAGAATTAAAGTATTAGAATCAGAAAAATTATAGGCTGAAGGGTAAAGTTTGTAAAGAAAATTATAGATGACTGCACAAATGGAATTTTCACATGGGAGGAGACAACCTCCATCAAGCAAGATGGACAGCTTTGCACTGGTCACCAGGCAAATTGTTAGGAGTCGGATCTATTCCCACTCTGGCTAGAAGGAAAAATATATACAAGTTGCCCCCGTGGCTACTGGGAAAATATCCTACTATGCCTAAAATTGTTCTAGCCTGTTTCCATCGATTTTTTTGAAGTCAAGTCTTTTTGGTTCATTCCCTGTGTGACTCTTCTAAGCAGGAAAAGGCACCCATTTTGTTGGCCATGCTTATATGGACAAGTGGGCACTGCATTAGCAGATGTAGCCCAAGGTGATCCTTAGGAACACTGGCAACTGATTCAATTCCTCTTCCTAGGGAACCATAGCTTTGGAATCAAAAGAAAAATATCAATTGAGAAAAAGTAGAAAAAATTAGGGGAGGCCAGAAGCCACCTTCAACAACTCTATTTTTCACAAGTTAAATTCAAGTGAGGGACACTAATTCAAAAATTTCATTTTTTCAACAAATGTTTATTGGTTGCTTACTCTGTGCTAGGCACTATGCCCAGGGCTAGTCAGCAACAAAGAACACAGACTCACGCGAAAAGGGAAGACACAACTGAACAGGTGTGATGAGCACCAAAGAGGACGACAGGGTGCTCTGCTGGAACTCATTAAAAGAGTGGACTTAAACTAGCTGGTGGGAAGGGGAGGGTCCAGATTCTAGCTCCCTAACTAGACTGGAAGCTTTCCTGAGGCCATGGACTAAAAAATATTTCAAATTCTGCAGTTTTCAAACATTTTTAAGCAGCAGAATTCTTTCTTTAAACAAAATCTTACCTGGCAGCCCAATAATAAATCAGGAAAAAGATAAAGGACTATGGTGGCAGTGAAGGGGGAAGCCAGAGGTCCTGCCTGACTAGATTCTCTATCAACCCGTCCCTATTTCACCCTTTGTGTGGCCTACCAGGTCCTCTGGAGTTTGAAGTTTCTACAGAGCAGTTTTTAAACCACCAATCTAATGAAGCCATTTCCTCCATTTACAAATGGGAACATGAGAACCAAAGATGTTAGGAAAATCTGCTCATGTCCTTTATATCCCCCAGAGTACTTAACATAGGTATCAGTAAAATACGGATGCAGCATCAGTGTGGACAAATGATAGGAAGTATCAGATATGGGAAAAAGAAGATGGACTTTGTTGTCAAAAGTGACAAGGTTCAAGTACTGGATATGACATTTAATAAATATGGGTCCTTAGGCATAGTCACTTAACTTCTCTAAGCCTCAGTTATTTCATCCATAAAATAAAAACAGTACTTCCTTCACAGCAGTTTCAAGAGGATGAAATGTGTTTAAAGTAGTAATAAAATAATAATCATCATTATTTTCATTTAAAGTGCACTATTTACTGAGGACTCACTTTGTGGTCAGTATGTGGCCCAAAGGCTCGCATTTACTCACACAATCAGTTCCCTTCCCCCTCTTTGCTCTTCAAATCTCTAGCCCCTTTCCCTTAAGTAAACATTCATGTACCTTTGGGCTCCTCTGGTAGTACATGCAGCACCATTGGTTTTTTGAACACATGGCTCTCCATTTCAAAGCGAATTTCACAGGTATATATCCCCTGGTCAGCCTCTTCCACATTTTGGAGCAGAAGAGAACCATCACTGTGTGAGATGTCCCCAACCAAGCGCACGCGATTCTGGAAGCGTCCCACAGGCACACTGAGGTTGGCATAATAGTACAGCACATAATCATCCTGGAGGGCAACACAACATTGGGGAAAAACTAATGTCAGTGACACCAGATCTAGGAGTCTGGATTCGAAAGACCCTGTTCTGTGGAGACAGCATAGTTACCATCATCATCGCGATCAAAAAGTACTTGTCACCCAGTTAATAATAATAATGTGCCAGGCAATAATCTAACTTGCACAAGGCTCTGTGGCTCATTTATACAAAAACAAATGGAGAAGTAAGAGTCCACACATTTTCACTTGTAACAGTGTAAAGTAAAACATAACACCCACTCTGAAGATTACTCTGGGGATTTAAATTCCCAACTTTTGAAAACAAACTGCCGTCTTTGCTCCATCTTCTGCCACAGCCCCCAGACTAGAGGACATTGGAGGCATGATATATCCCACAGTTGGCTGCTGTGAGAATTTTAGAATGTTGGCCGTCACTCCTTTTCCTGTCTGTCCTCCTTGGGCAGCTTATCATGGGGCGTGAGGAGTCATCAACAGGGAGTGGTTTACAGGCTGGGAGGGGAAGCCTGGGGAAATTCCTATTTCTACTTATATCATGGGAATATCCCTCTTATAATAATAAATAGTAATAAAAACTTGAGTGAGAGTACCATTAAGGAATAACATGATCACTTGCAAACACTGGGAGCTTGTTGTTAGTAACACATTACTTAAAACATACTTCACAAATGATCCTGACATATAGGTTATTTCTGCAAAATCTCTGATGAGGCTTAATACACTGTTTCCTGCTCCAAAGAGCTCCCATGAAATACCCTCACTCAGCTATGTTGCATCTGCTAATCCCAGCATGTCAAGTAGCTGTCAAGGAGAAAGAGAAGTTTCTCCAGCATGTAAATGGGGCAATGGAATGCTGAAAACACTATTACTGCAACGTAATTTTTATGTTTAGGCCATAACCCTTCAAAGTGCTCTTACCATCTCACAGAGTCCCCCTCCCCCACCCCATGCAACTATGCTCCTCTACAAAGTGCAGAAATTGAGAAAAGAAACTAAAAGAACTTTATGTGCATGTCTCCCATTAATGACCTGAATGACCTGAACAGTTAAGCATTACCATTATTATAATTACCTTCACCTTCACATATGGAGAAGTGGAAGCTCAGTGAGGTTGGATAACCTGACCAGCTGACTGCACCGCCAAGCAGCCAGGCTGAGAAGAGTTCTGACAAGCCCCAGAGCCCAACCTCTTATGGCAGAAGACTGGATTCTCCCTCTCCCCCACTGTCTTGACACCATCAGCCAGGGCTTCTACTACACTGTGATATTTCCTCCTAGTTACCTTGGCATGCTTCACTGGCGAGAACATCCAGTCTACCTTGGTCATACGTTTCTTTTCTGTGCTCTGGAAAACACATCCCATCAGGGCTGAATCACCCACGTGGACTGCTAGCTCAAGGGAGGAAACAATTGAGTCATTCAGACCCAAAAAATAACCTACAGAAGTCAAAGGCAAGAGAAGACATTTAGACAGATATCCTCAACAACAAAAATCAGTATTAATCATCAAGTACCATACACCTTCCCTCCCCCAGATGCCAATGTGGACAAACTATTCAAAGGCCCCTCACTCAAACCAGCATGGCCTTCCCAAGAATAAGAAAAATACCCTCTAATCACCCATGTGGCTCAAATCAGGGCGTTCTGCAATCTTCAAACTACATAAATACTAAACTGGTTCCATTCGCCTAGCTAGTCCCTTCCCCTTTTCCAGAATTCCTCCCTGACCCCATCTCCTTTCTAAAGAAAGAAGAAAAGCCCTGGAGTCCTTACTTTCAGATGATGTGCTTAAACATCCATAAACAGGAACTGAGATATCTGTCACTCTTAGTTTACCACCAGTTCCCTATCTGACAAACCAATTCACAGGTATTCTTGCTTCCTTCTTCTTTTCTTTTTCTTTAGTTCCTTTACAAAAGCTTATCTCTGAATCTGCTGGCTGTGCTGCAGGTCCTTGTAATTAGGCCAATACAGAGCACACAGCTCTTCCCTTGAATCTGCCTTGTGTTCGACTTCTCCTCATGTCCCCTCCAGCTCTGCCTACAGCCCTGGATTTTCAGTCTCTAGGTGTCTGAACACATGGTACCACTCCACTATCTGTAGGCCACTCAAGTAATTTCTCTTTTCACTTAAAGAGAAAACCATTATACAGCTATTTCTGATTTCACAAGACACGCTTTATGCAAATACAACAACATCAAGAAAAACACATTTAGAGACAGATGGGTGCCAGAGGAAAAGGGGGTTGGGGGAGGAGGCTGGGCAAAAGAAGTGAAGGGATTCAGAAGTAAAAACTGGGCCCTGATTGGCATGGCTCAGTTGGTTGAGCATCATCCTGCAGAGCTAAGGGTCATCAGTTCAATTCCGATCAGGGCACATGCCTGGGTTGCAGACCAGTATCCAGTTGGGGGCATGCGAGAGACAACCAATCCATGTTTCTCTCTCACATTGATGCTTCTCTCCCTCTCTTTTTCCTCCCTTTCCCTCTCTCTAAAAACAAATAAAATCTTTAAAAAATAAAAGTAAGAAAACCATGTTTAGATACTGGCCAGTTTATATCAAAGAAGAGCAAAGTGAACACACAGGGGAAAATGGATAATGTGCCAGTCTTTTCATCCAAGCTGAGGCCCTGAGAGAAGAGTGGTAACTTCCTGCCCAGCAGCAGGCATACACAAACAGTGGGGAAGACATAAAAGAAAACATGAACTCTAAAGACTTCAGAGGAAATTACTTGGAAATAAATCAAAATTAGCTCCAAAAACTATTTGGAATTTTCCTGTCAGGAAGAATGGAGCAAATTTACATGTGGTAAAAGGTATAAGAAGCTATTTTTTTTTAAATTAAGCATGTTATATTTAGAATTAAATGAAGGTGTATTAGAAAGCAAGAGCAGCAATGAAAGCGAAGAGAAACTTACACTTGACAGGTAACCTTTGTAGAGGCTAAATGGCTAAAAAAAGTAAGACTTTCTACAGGAAGAAAACCTCTGTACAAAGAAGTACAAAAACTCTGATTCACCTACGCCATGACATACTGTTTAGTTTTTTGTTAAAGATTTTATTTATTTATGTTTAGAGAGAGAAGAGAAGGAGAAAAATATCTACATGCAAGAGAAATATCGACTGATTGCCTCTCCCATGCCCCCAACCGGGGACCTGGCATGTGTCCAGACTTGGAATCGAACTAGTGACCTTTTCATTCTCAGGCCAGTGCTCAATCCATGGAGCCATACCAGCCAGGGCCAGGATTGGACTGCTAACTCTCTGAAGAGAAGGGCAAAAACCTGTAAGCTACTTTACAGACCACTGGGAAAATATCTAAGTAACCCTTAAATCATTAAAAAATTCATGAAAATATTCTCTAATACATACCATTACCACATGTGTGTGTTGTGTGTGCGTATTTGTGTATACTCTAGGTTGCCTAAACTAAAGCAAAGGCAATTCTTTTGTGTACTTCACTGAGTCAGTGTTTAGGTCACCATCCACAGTTAAAAAAAACAACAACAACAACTAATAAACAGAAAAATAAAAGGCTACGAGAGCGAAGCACCTACATTTATTAATTTACTCTTCCTACAGAGACATATCTATGGGACACAGGGAAAGACAAAATAGGGAAAAAGGATACAAAGCTAAAAAGAAGTGAAGATAAGCAATGGGCAACAAGAAGCAGCCCTGAGCACTTAGGTTACCTATGAACAGGAAACTCCAGCCTGGTCTGAGGCGGCAGCCAGAGCAGGCTTGTTAGAGGAAAGTAGAGCTTAAGGGGAAACATGAAGGATAAAGAAGCTTTAGGCAGGCTTGCTAAGGTAAGGTGGGGAGAAAAGGTTCCATGCAAAAGAAACCACCCAAAATTAGGAAAGAGCTCAGTGCACTGGACGACCTGCAAGAAGGCTGGTGTGGCTAAAGCATGAAAACAATTACAGGGATTCTGGGACTTTCTTTGGTAATTTCATTTCCTGATCTGGCACTAGCTGTGGTTTTAAAGATGACAATTTAAAGTGTAGGAATGCCACAGTGAAGTTTTCTTTGTATCACATAGGAGGGTCCTAGAATACCCAGTAAGGACCCAAGGCATTCTGTTTCCACTAGAAACACAGGAAGATTCAGCTTTCCAAGAAAGGGTCTACTACATAGCTTCTAAAACAGCTATTTCAGCAAAACAACTGTTTCCACAAAACTATGAAGTTCCAGGTTAGGGTTTCCGTTACCAACAAACCAAGGGGAAATGAAAATACATAAAGCCGGCTCTTGAAAAGGCATGAGACTTAAGAGCAATCACATCTCTCCCACTCCCACTGTCACTTGCTCTCCTGGCTTCCACTTACCCAGTAATCCTGGCATCAGGATGAGTTTCAGTAGCCAAATCATGCTGCCCTCAATTTTCAATCTTAAAATAAAAGAAAAAAAAAATCAGACAATAGTTTCAGGAGCAGTTCATTAATTTAACAAACCAACAGTGAGTTCCTCCATAGGGTAGCCTCTGCCTGAGGCTCTAGGGTACAGCACTGAACAAGAAAGACAAGGCCCCTGCTCACATACAGTTTGCATGTGGGGGAGACAGAGGAAAAAAAGAAACAAATGAATGAATAATAAAACAGCTAATGCTGGTAACTGCCATGATAAACCAAAATAGTGGTGTTGGGTGAGTCACTTGGGAGCTCTTTTAAATTAGCTATAAGGGAAGATTAAATGAAAGTTGCTTTTCAAGAGGAAAAAAGTGCCCTGACTGGTACGACATAGGGTTCAGCATTGTCCCGCAAAGCAAAAGATTGCTAGTTCTATTCCTGGTTGGAGTGCATTCCTGGATTGCAGGTTCGGTCCCCAGGAGAGGCTTGCCTGATTGATGTTTCTGTCTCACGTCGATGTTTCTCTCCCTCTCTTTCTCCTTCCCTTCCCCTACAAATAATGAATGAATGAATGAATAACATCTTTAAAACAAAAAGAGAGAGAAAAAGCAAATAATTTCAGGATACCCTTGAGATGACAACCCCAGACATTCTACAACCTGAAAGTTTCACATAAACAAAAGATTACAGTATTCTCAGCCTGAAATTTTTACCTATCCCTCCAACTAAATTAAAACTACTACTTTTAAACATTTGAAGAACAATCAGGACATGTGAGAAAGGAAATATACAAACAAGAGAAAAGATTTCAACTCAGTTAAGAAATTCACCAAGCTGTATGACACAAATAAGCCACATGAAAGCTATTTTATTTTATTTTTTCAACTTTTTTTTAGGCAGGGCAGCATGGGTAGAATAAGAACTAGGTGAAGTTATCTTTCAAATGTCTATATTATTTCTGTGGTATTAAGTCCACTGCATCTACCAGCTCCTGGGAAAGGAGTCACTGTTTTACACAGTGCCCCACAATTTTCTTAATGAAACAGAAGGACATAACTCCAAGGAGTTAAAATTCAATGAGCTGTGCATTCCTACCTACTATTGTGGCTGATCTCAGCCATGATCCCTGTACCCCTAACATCCAGCCACTGGAGGAATTCCACCTCAGAACCTGCTACGAGGAAGGTGTTTTTGTTTGTTTGTGCATTAACACCATAGTACTCTACCCAGCTCTAGTGGGAAGTCCAGCACTTATGGTAGCCATTTTAATTTATAAAAAATTTCTTAAAAGATACCTATTCTAATCCAGAAAGCCCTCCCTTTGGAAAACCAGGGTCAAACTGTTCAAGGAGGTCCTACCCTGGGTCCCAAGTTATGCAGAGAAGTCAGCTGACCTTGCTGAACCTCAGTTTCTCCCCTATAACATGGGAATTAATAAGATAAGAATCAAATATGATAATATAGGTAACAGTGCTTTGAAAAACAGAAAGCATTAAGATCTTTTTTTTTTTTTTTTTTTTTTTTATAACCTAAAAGATTGGAAATAGAGTGTGTAACTTTCAGGGTAGATTGTAGGTTCAGAGCATCTACCTTTATAAGAATAGCAAATGAGTAATCATAATGAACTGGAAAACCTTTAGTTTTCAGTTTTTGAATCCCATCACACCAATGTAGATAATTACGACACCAACTCCGATGTACCAAAAGTAACAGTAAGTTCCCTAAGTGTAAGCACATCTAATGAAAACACAGATATCTCTCAAGATACCACAGCCCTTTTCCTGCCCCAGGACACCCACCTCACCCACACTTACACAGGTGAACATGATAAAGAGCTCATTTTATAGCATGTCATAACTCTAATACATCATATCGAGGACCCCTAAGATCCCTGGCAATTTCTGGGTGAATTCTTCACCAGGGAGTTGGTTGGGCTCCCTCCACTGCCCAGCAAACAGTTCTTATACATATCCCAAAGGAGTGCACCATTTGCATGGAGAAGTAATAATTGCTTTATATGTCTAACATCAAACCACATTAGGTCCACATTCTTTTTTTTTTTAATTTATTTTTTCAAATACATTTGTCTCTGTCTACCCCCCACCACTTTCCCTTGCCCCCTCCCTCCTTCCCTCCCTCAGCTCTTCCCCTTTGGTTTTGTCCATGAGTCCTTGCTATATGTTCCTTGACTTGCCCCTTCCCTTCCTTTTCCCCGCCCCCCCCCTTCCCTCTTATCTCTGTTGATTTCTTTTCCTTTCAGTGTTGCTGGTCTTATTTTCCTTGCATCTCTGCATTGTTGGTTAGGTTCCACTTATAGGTGAGATCATATGGTATTTGTCTTTCACCCCCTGGCTTATTTCACTTAGCATAATGCTCTCCAGTTCCATCCATGCTCTCGTGAAGTTTAGTAGTTCTTTTTTTCTTTCTGCTGCGTAGTATTCCATTGTGTATATGTACCATAATTTTTTGATCCAATCATCTACTGATGGGCATTTAGGTTGCTTCCAACACTTGGCTATTGTAAATTGTGCTGCTATGAACATTGGGGTACATAGGTTCTTTTGTATTGGCGTTAGGTCCACATTCTTGAGGGCATAACCATACATGTCCTACTTATGAGTGTACCATGCCTGTGCTATAGTACCAGTCAAGTACCCAGCACATACTGGATAAGTGCTGATAGTGCCCAATATGACCATCAAATTAAAATCAACTTAGCTACCCTGCAATTGAACCACTCTATTTTAAGAGGAAACCATCGATCCCAAAAAAGACCCTGAATCTGATCACCAAATTCAAGTCACTCAGAGCCACACCCAAAGTATTTTTCAAACAAATTCTAAGAAATGTGCAAACAATATGATGAATAAAAGATACCCATTTTCAGTTCTAAGTACTCAAATGCACCATTAGAACTGCATAAATGAATAGAGAAGCTGTGATTTAACAAACAAAAAAGAACGAAATCGAATCTAAAAAAAAATTCTCTTCCCTAGGTCAGACCTTCCATTAACTAATTCTTTGATCTTTGGGAAATCACTCAATCTACCTGGGTCTCCTCCTTAACATTAAAGGATCGGACTTTTGTAAAATCCCTCTAGTTAATGTAGCACCACACAAGAAATCAATAGTTGATATGTAAAAAACCAGAGAAGGTTATACACCAGGTATTGTCTGAGCACTTTACACATTAAACAATTTAATTCTCACAACAACCCCCTGAGATTTTACACATAAGAAAACTAAGGCACAGATTGGTAAGTGACTTGCCTAAGAACACACACCAAGTGGCAGAGCCACAATTCAAACCCAGGCATTCTGGATCAGAGCCTGTGTCCTTACTACCCTGTATTGCACCTCCATGTTTGTGATAGTAACCAATGTTTTAGGGCAAAACTTCTCTGAATGTCATTTGTTGAAATAATATTAATCTGCTCCCTCTGATTAAATGCTCTTCACATCCCCTTCACCTGGTAAACTCCTGTTCTACTTTCAGATCTCAAGTTAAACTTCTTCTGAGCCCCCTTCTTGGGCCAGATACTCAGGCACATATTCTAATAGTACTATTGATCTTTCCTTTAGGGCTCGTCACAGTTTCTAATTGTCCATTCATTTGTGAGCTTATTTAAGTCTTGATCTCCATCCTCACCCCTCTAAGATTAAAAGCTCCATGAGGCCAAGAACTGTGCTATGTGCCACTGCATCTCCAGTGCCAGCCTGGAGTAAGGCCTGGGGTGAAAGCCCAGTGACCACCTGCCCCATGAGTTAACAGGGCTCAGAACACTCTAGTCAAGTTTCAGTGTCCTAGTTAGTGGTAATTATTCAGAAACTCCTACCATATACATACGTAGTCACTAAGTTGTAAATAGTCATGCACATACATATATGATAGGAATTTCTGAATATACGTATGTGTATATATAAATTCTGACATATATCTGAACAAATTCTGAATTAAGGGTGCTGACCCTACACAGTTAAAAATCACAAATATAACTTTTGATTCCCTCAAAACTTAACTACTAATAGCCTACTAGTAACCACAAGCCTTACTGATAACATAAACAGTTGATTAATACATATTTTGTATATTTTATGTATTATATACTGTATTCTTACCATAAAGTAAGCTAGAGAAAAGAAAATGCTATTAAAAAAATCCTAAGGAAGAGAAACTACATTACAGTACTGCACATACTTATTGAAAAAGTCTGCACGTAAGTGGACTCACACAGTTCAAAACCATGTTATTCAAGGGTCAACTGTATTTATATACATCAGGTTCTCAAATAATTTCAGTTTTTTCAACATCATTTCATTATAACAATGATAAGAAAAAAAATGATTCCCTGCCAGGGTCACTGTCTGTTTACATGTTCTCCCCATGTCTGTGTGGGTTTTCTCCAGGGAGTCCGGTTAGGTTAACTGGGATGACTAAATTGTCCCAATCCGGGGATGGGTGTGAGCGTCCCTGCGATGGTGGGGCATCCTGCTCAGGGTGGGTCCCGCCTTACCCCTGAGGATGGGCTCCTGCTCCCTGCAATCACAAACTGGAAAACATGAGTTGGAAAATATTTCCTTATAGTTTTTATTAATCTTTCCTAAATGTATATAGAGCTCACTTTTATTTCAGTGTTCAATATTATAAATGTTTGAAGTCTTTATTTAGAAGTTTGGTGATGCTTTCGTGACTAGAAATACGCTGTAAGAACTTGACTCTTGCTTATATCAGTCTATGGTAAAATCAGCTTCGGTATATGTTGATTCCTTTAAAGTCAGTTTTGAAGAATGTATAGACAACATTAAGGACACACAGTATATAAAATAAGTCTCAGTCTTTAAAAATCCACCAAAGCGTTCAGATGCACTTTAAGGCACCTTAATAATGACAGGCTCCATTTGAATTCTCAACTTCTACTCTGCTTACCTCTCCAGACACTGATTTATCTTCTCAGCAGATATTCTTGAGATAATCCTACATAGTAAGTTATCTCGTATCTTGGCTAAATGTTTTGACCTGAGCTCATGGTTTTATCACTATATAATACCTGGCAAATATCTCCTATCACTCCTGGGGAGTTATAACTGTAGGGGTCTGCTTTCCTATTATTAATCGTGTAGGGGAATTGTTATCCTTGACAGAATTATGACAGAAAAAAAAATTTTCAGATGAGAGACTCATGACAATAAGACTACCACACAGGATGTGAAAATAACCCCCACATATCACAATATTAGAAGACAAAATAGGGAAAGGTGCTGTCTCAAAGTGTTTGTCCCTAGGAAGGACAACTAACCACTGAGCAAACACAATGGCACACCCTTCCCTTACACAGCCAGCCCCACCTGCAATTCTATGTGCCCTCAATTTACACTTGGCTGTGCACCTCTGCGGTCTCAGATGTTTTTAAGTATAAGAGACCACATAACCATTCTGAGGAATGACGCTCTTAAAATATGTCCTTGTTTTTCCTTCCAAGACCATCCTGATAGGTTACAAGGCTTCCTGTAACACAGTCTAGGTTACATCAGTCAACCCTCTACTAGAAGTGAGGCGGGATAATAAGCAGTTAAGGAAAGTCCTGGGCAAATGGAACAGGGCAACTGAAACAAGACAATTAAACAAGGCCAAACAGCTTGAGCAACTTACAGCCAGCTAGTGGATTGCAAAACCTCATCTCCCCTAACCAAGGATACTTGAGAGCAAATGGTTAATACCTTTCCTCGCTAACCAGAGATACATAGCTTAAATCACCCTGGTCTGGGAGATAAGTAACAAAGACCCAGCTAGCGCCATTTGCGCCAGCCAAACCCAAGGACCGATGAAGTCAAGGGAACAAATAACAAAAAACCCAATTAGAGCCAGAGAGGCCCAAGATAAGAGCAGAGCAGTGAAAATGACCAGAGAATCCCAAACTGCCCCATACACTCATTCTGATGAATCAACATATTGAAGAACACACCTGGAAAACTAATGAATATTCTGTTAAGACCCTCCCCTGAGATCTCCCCTAGGATTCCCACCCTGCAGAAGAGATAAAAACCCTCCAAAGACTCCATGCACACTCTCTCTGGAGCACACCCATGCCTTTTCTTGGGCACAAATATTTTACTTTCCCCTAAACTCTAAGGGTCCCTACAAGACTTGTAACCAGGGGAGCAGCGGGCAGTGGCAACTCATCCTAGACTAACACCCTGAACTTGTCTTCAAGGCCCCCTTTTTGTCTGACTTTCCAGTGAGCTAACAGCAGCCCAGCCTTAGCTCACTTCATTCCTCTAACATTTTAGGGAGCCAAAGCAGAGCACCCCCTAGGCTCTCTACCTACCGAGGAGAAGCTCATATTCCCAACCTCTGCAGGTGTCACTTCCCCTGCAAGATTACCAGCTCTATGAGAGTGGAATCTGGGATGGCATCAGGCAAACATTTGCTGAGAAAGAAATCAGCTTTGAGCAAACAAAATACAATAAATTTAAGATTAACACAAAACATTGTGCCCTGTGTTTAAAACATAGCAACCTCTCTTATTTTTCTCCCAACAGAGAGGTGCGATAGAGGCCGGCAATCCCCCAATCCCTGCTTCCCTGTTGCTTCTTCTACCCTAAGTCCTTCTTTTGTTTCACTATCCCCAGCCTTAATAAACATGCTCTCAAAACCACCCGGACTCATGTTGTGAACTCTTTCCTGCATGAAGTAAGAACCCACACCCTACAGGCTGGCCTGAGGCTGACCCACTCTGGGTCTCGTCTCTGCCCCGTAACAGAAGCCGACCTTGGAAGTCATTACTCCTGTTTGTGCCTTGGAAGCAGGTTACCTAAACCACGTTACATCAGTCCTTCCTGAGGTAAGGGCTATACATAGGGAGTGACAAGTATGGACAATAGTCCAGCTCTCTTGTGAGTTTTCAGTTCATGACTTCTTAATGTTAAATATTAGTCTGCCAAGGACTGAAATAAGATAAACAGTGAAGGAAGAGTCTTGCTATGAGCTCTACCTAAAGCCACAGCTTTGTGGTTTTCAGCATCAAGCTGGACTTAAAAGCTAAAGCCTTATCATCATCATTTACACTTTTATTAAGAGCAAACCTTACTCTCTTTTTTCTGATGATCTTAACATAAGTCACCCTACACTACAGAAGGGAAAACTGCACCCACTCACTAGACTAGCTTATACAGTCCTTCTGCAGAGGTTGAGAGTTCTGTGACTGTGGCCTAACAATCCAAAAGGACTGCCATTCAAACCTTCAGAACCTTCTTCTGAGAGAGAAAAGTTCAATTCACTACTTAAGAAATACAAAGCAACTGCTTACCCAAGATGAGGAGCGCCCAGGAGCAGCAATGCACTGAGCCCTGCCACAACTGTGGTTTTCCACTCTGACTGAAGAGACGCTGCTAGCACAGAAGGTCAGGCTCAGAGCAAACCAAATGCGTGAGTCCTGAGGTGGCTGCAGAGACACAAACAGGAACCTCTGAGTGCAGGTTCTCATTTCAGTCATCTGGCCCATTACTCAATTTGTATTTGTACTTTCAATGTAAAAAGAGGTAATAAATTCAACCTACCGAGAAGCAGCTCATATTCCCAACCTCTGCAGGTGTCACTTCCCCTGCAAGATTACCAGCTCTATGAGAGTGGAATCTAGGATGGCATCAGGCAAACATTTGCTGAGAAAGAAATCAGCTTTGAGCAAACAAAATACAGTAAATTTAAGATTAACACAAAACATTGTGCCCTGTGTTTAAAACATAGCAACCTATTTTTCTCTCCCAACAGAGAGGTGCGATAGAGGCCGGCAATACCCCAATCCCTGCTTCCAAGCTATGCCTTCTTTGTCCTCCAGCTCACTGCCTAGGCATGTCAATTTCCTCTGACCTTGTGATAATAATATTTTCAGGAAACATAGCATTTTATTCCCCCAGAAAACCCCTTGGGTGACTTGGACATCCTAGATAAGAACTCAAGGCTTCTTTATACTTCAAGGTATCTTTTGCTTTTAAGTCACCACCTCAAAATAAGTGTTCTCAATGTGCATGCCTGCCACTTTGGCTGGGCTGGCTGGACCTACACATGGGCACACCTGATTTTTTGCAACTTGTCCTGTATCATTTGAAAAGTCGTTGAATACTCGCTCTTTTCAAGGACTGTGCTCCGTGGTTCTTGGGAAATGATGTGCTGGTAAGTCAGCAATTTACCTAAATACACCCACCATGGCCTACTTCAAGCTACCAGCAAGGTAGTAATGAGGAATTGAAAAATTCCTAAAAATTTAACAATTGGCTCTTGTTACGTAAGCTGGATCCAGCACATCACTAAATCTATGCAGGTACTCACTGAGGTACAGTTCAGAGATGAATGAGTTGCTAGGTGCTGAAAACTACAAACCTGCCGCTCTTACATATGACAGTTCTCAACTTATATGCAGATACACACCAGAAAGTGCAAAGAAGTTTATTAACCATGATGTGGTAAAGAGATCGAGCATTACAATGTCTGTGCACATGGCCCAACAGTACCATAAATAAAACACATTGAAATGCAGCAATTAACAGTCCAACAGTACAGCACTGGGGTCAGAGGCATGGAGCTGCCTCTCCTGACAGCAAAGTTTTGAGATTTGCAATTAAACAGTAGTCTTCATCGACTCCCTATGGATCTTTTTACAGCTTCCCTTCAGAACCATAACAGAGTGACACATCAGAACATTCAGACTCAGGACTGACTTCCAGTCTTTAAGGCAGAGACATGCAACATTCCCCCTTGAAGCACCAGTGCCTAATTTCGGAGCTGCAGAGAACTAAGCTGTTCCCCAAGAAGCATAAGGTAATAGGTCACATGGGAAACACGAAGCATTCTTTAAGTTCACATTTGGAAACAGAATTAAGAGTTAGATGCACAAAACTCATAAACTAATGTAACCAGAAGTAAATACTTGAGCAGCCAAAGGCTTTTGAAAGGCTTTTAACCCCTTCGGAAGACTTCAGATTTAAATTCCTTTTCTAGACAAGGCTGGTCTCCAGACAAGGCTGGTGTGGTAAAAACTCATGGAACATCAAAAAGATAAAGCGTAGCACCTAGAATATATTAGAACAGAGGGTCAAAAAAAAAAACAACAACAAAACCCTCCCTCCCCACCTCCCTTCCTCCCTCCCAGAAAGTAGGTGTCCAGACACTGAAAAACTGTAATCCAGACCTCAAAATAACGGATGAAGAAGGAAACTGATAGCAGCCTGATGACTGTGATGTGAACACAAACTCAAGGAGCCGACTCAATTATCAACTTACTCTCTTCCCATGAAGGACTCTGTTGTTCATTTATTCCAAAAGCAAGGGACTGCCTCAAATCATCATCAAAGCTACAAAATAACACAACTAAGGATTCATACAGCACCATTTGCCTTAAGTGACAAACATATCACACAGGATTAATCTTGAAACTATGCCTGAGAGAAAATTACAAGCAAATCTAACTAAAACTGGTTCCTTATTTAGTGGGGTGTGGTTTTAACTGGGTTCCCATCATCTTTGTCAGAGAAATGAGGACCTACAAAAAGTGTGCCTCACAATTAGATCTCTATCTTCAAATCCCCTAGAGCCTAAATTATTTATTCTTATTCCTCAAACTGTTTCCCTCTCTCTGTTGAGGTGCCCAACTGGCTCATTACATTGGCCCCAGACAACTGCAAACTTAACACGTAGACCTAGGCTGTGAGGTTTAACCACTGGAAATGTATACTTCCAATCCTGTCTTGCCACGTCTCCTTCCTTACATGACCAGAGGTAAATCATAGTGCCTATTAACTAATCGGACTCTATCTATGGATGAGGTTAACAAAAGAGGTCAGGCCAAATCTATGAGACATAGCTAACAAACCAAATTTTAAAAAATAGATCTTGGCAAAAAATGTATGTGATTTTTAATAACATATATGGTGTATAATGCATATACAATGGTAACCTACTGAGCCACCTAGTGAAGAGCATGAGAAGGGACTATTCTGATGAAAAAACAAAGAAGTGATCATTTTTGTCTCTCACAATTGAGAAGAGAACTCTATCACTCTGTCACAGAGAACTACACCGTCAGTCCTTCCTGACATGTCATACATATTTCTTAATGGCTTTATAGAAAATCTTATGTAAATTAAAGTTTAAAATGTTGCTGCAGGGAAGTGGGGGAAGTTGATATAAGGTTGCAAGAGATCAGAAGGGAGAAGTATAGGTTATGCGCAATATCACTTCCTTATCTCAAATATTATATAAAAAGTCTATAAATACCTCAATTCACTCATATTTGGGCATTTTAGAAATCAAAACCATTTTCAAGAATAACACAGGTTAAAAGAATATTTCATTGTAAATAACTGGTAAAATAATTCTATACAGTCCCACAGAACCTTTTGAGGAGTTTTCTTGCCTCTGGTGTTAAAAGTCAAGAATGAAACCAACCTAAGATAGTAAAATACCAAGTTGTACTTGGCAAGACAAAAGAAAGGACTCCATCTACCTCACCATTCCTTTACTTGACTGAAAAATGACGACACTTTAAAAACCCACTCAAAGCACTGACTCCTGATCCTACCAACTCTAAGGAAATTAATGTTATACACTCCAAGTCATCCAGACATAACTGATGATGACATAATTAAACCAGTGAGTAATATGCTGTGTGCTAAACTCACAGCTAAAAATGTTCATAGAGCAAAAAAACAAAAAATACTTATCCCAAACAAATGTTTTGTCTGGTAGCACATCAGGAAGCTACAAGCTCCATTTCATTTAAAAAAAAATTCTGGCATCAGAAGTATGGCCAACACCTAGAATTCTCCCTCAAAAAATTGGAAGAAAACATGTAATACATTCAAGAGGAAAGGTGAAATAAAAAGTATCTTTGTATTCAGGAAAAGAATTCCTTCATTCAATTAGAGTATGTTATTAAAAGGGGTAGTTATGAGTCTCTTCTGAAAGTTTCCGAACAGTTTATAAATACAAAAAGAACATTTCTTCAATAAATAAATGGTTCCTAAAGTCTTTACTGATGAATTCCAGAATCCTCCATCACTATTCTCCAAGTCAGCTCCACTTCTCTGAGAGGCTTTAGCTGCCAGTGGAATGGGATATTTTCGGTTATTAGGTAATTCTTCTTATATCATGCAGACTTTCATCAATACGTCTCTTCATAATCTGAATCCTGGAGAGGAAAGAACAGTAGTTGTCGTATGTATATGAAGTGTAACACAACAGCCAGAATTGACTGAGATTCTTGTCAGTTTTGTTCACTGCTATTTCCTAACTACCTAGAATCGTATCTAATTGATACGATTATCAATTATGAGCACATGTCAAATGCTCAATGAATAACTTATCAAAATATCCAAACGGGTTGGTATTAATCCTCTCCACTGGCACTTTCCCTCATCTTCCCTATTATACTCAAGTACCTGCGAGAAAGAGGAATAAAGAACACTGCAATAAGTAATTAGGCCGTGGTCCTCTAGCTAAGTGCTGAGCTTGGCAATCAAAAGTACAAAAAGGGCTCAAGTTTAAACCCTAAAATGACAGGTGTGCTACACATTAGATCATATGCTACTTCTGAACTGTTTCCAACTGAACCACATGAGAGTGAGTCTTTCTTCTTCCCAGGATCCTGCGATAGCCACACAAGCCTATCAGTCACAGCAGGTGCTCAAAAGGGAAGGAATGGCAACCTTTCGAAATTTAAATAAAAATTCAGGCCTTGCAACCTGAATATTCCTTATTAACAAAGCCATAAGTCCCCTAAAAGGTTGTATCAGTCTAATTCCATGAAAAACAACAACAACAACAACAAAAAACCCCACAAAACCCCAAGGCTCTGCAAAAAAAGTTCAATTCAGGGCTCTGGGTCCAGCCAGTCAAGTCTCCTAGCATGACCTCAGTGGCAGAGGACACTCCACTCTCAGGATGTTCTCTGTCAATCAGCAGAGAATGCTCTACCCTGTCCCTTTCCTAATCCAAAGACACCACTCTCTGCCCATGAGGCAGAAAACAAAATAACAATTAGAGTTCAGGGATGGGGGCTCCCTGAAAACAAAGTGCTTTGGAAGAAGACTTCGGTTGATACCATGCTTTGGGACTACTGGCATACCCTCTGCTCCTTCTGAGGGCAAAGGATCCCCAGAAGTAAGCAAAAGAGTGAAACATGAACAGGGAACAGAAGAAATGGCATGGGCTTACCAAGCACTCAGCACAACGGGCACAAAGCCTCGCCATACAGTCATCTTCCTCCTCTTGGTCAGTACTGTAACAAAGGTCAAACCAAATCAGAACAATCGCTAGGTCAGTGTAGTAGAGCAATTAAAAGCACAGGCATTGAAGTCAGACAGATCTGGTATTAAATTCCAGTTCTGCCACTTATTAGCATGGTGGCTGGGCAAGCTACTTAAGTTCCAGGAGCCTGTTTCCTCATCTATAAAATGCAGACATTACCAGCTATGTTTAAAGGATAGTTCTTAGCAATAAATAAAAAATAAACACATGTAAAACACACACCAAACTGCCTGGCACATAGCAAGTGTTCAATAAATAGGAGCTAGTCCCAGTCATTCATTTAGAAATGTACTGAGCACCAAGCACATCTCAGGCATTGTGCTGGGCTGGGGATAAAGAGTTCACAGTCTTTTGGGGGTGAGAGGCCTGTTGAAACTTAACAAATATATTACTGTATAATACAATATGACAAATTATTTAATGAAGTTAGGGTCAAACTGCTCTGGCAGCAAAGAGGAGGGAGTGACTAGTTCTCCCTGTAGGACCCAAGAAAACTCAAGGGAAGGGGATATTTCAGCTTGGTCTTAGATGACAAGGAAGTGTATACCAGGCAAAAAAGGGAAAGAGGGAGGGGATTCCAGGTGAGACAGAAGCATGTGGAGGGGGAATGGAGTATGACCTCAATGAGTATACTATGCTGAGAGAAGTAAATAAGCTCACTGAAGCTAGAATGTGGAACAAATGAGAATAAATGGTAGGAAACAACTTGACTTGTTGAAATTTCCTATCAGTTTTGAAGAAATAAGATATCCTCTTCAGAATTTATATTCAGAACCAAAGAATTGTACAGTCCGATTTCCAAAGCAGGAAACTAGGACCATATTATCAACGCTTCCATCTCTCTCCAAATTAATATCCACAGGTTTCACTTTCAACCATCCTTCTAGCACTGCTCAGCAGAATTATTCTCTTTAAAAAGAAATTTCAACCCTGGCAAGTGTAGCTCAGTTGGTTGGAGTGCTGTCTGGTAACCAAAAGCTTGCCAGTTCAATTACCGGTAAGGGCACATACCTAGGTTGTGGGTCTGATCCCCTGTTAGGACATGTATGATTCTTGGTCTGGGCATGTGCAGTCCCCAGTCATGGAGCGTACAGGAGGCAACCAATCGATGGATCTCCCTCACATCCATGTTTCTCTCTCTCCATTCTCTCCCTCCCTCTGTCCCTTCCTTTCTCTCTCTGAAAGCAATACCTCAGGTGAGGGTTAAAAAAAAAATTTTTAAAAAAAAGGGGGACCCTGGCTCGTTTGGCTCAGTGGGTTGAGTGCCAGCCTGCAAACCAAAGGGCTGCTTGTTCGATTCCCAGTCAGGACACATGCCTGGGTGGCAGGCCAGGTCCCCATTTGCAGTCTCGTAAGAGGCAACCATACATTGATGTTTCTCTCTCTCTCCCTTTCCTCCCTCCCCCCTCTCTAAAAATAAATAAATAAAATATTTTTTAACAAGAGGAAATTTCACCAGCAGAATTAGCCTCAGCCTGTAAGAAAGGAAGGCATGGGTGCAGGGGCCTTGGTACTCTTCACAAAGTAGAGATCTGGAGAGGAAATGGGTTTACTGGACTTACTCATCTGAAACCTCAATAGACGACTTCTTAAAGCCTGATTTGTTCCTCTTCTTCAGCCCTGCAGACTTCCTCCCCATTCTTACCAACAGCAGAACAACCACCACAGATGAGGGAATGAAGACAAGAATGGAAAGAAGCGCCACAGATGAGAGCATGGTGCCAAAACCTAGAGGAAGAAAAGAGAAGGTAAAAGACAGGGCCATGCAAAAATGTTTCCTTGGACATGAGATAGGAAGTTTTACTTTTGCCTTTGCATTTCTTCTTCTTACAAAAGGAATAAATTTGATGTAGAAAAGGTAGAAAATACAGAAAAAAATAAAAATTTACCCATAATCCTACCTAGGATTAATACATTAGTATCTATCCATTCAATCATCTTTCTAAGTATATATGAATATGGGTTTGCATACAGGGAGGACAGGGTGTATTTTAAAAGTATGAATCATATTTTATATATTATTCCTAACCTGTTTTACTTAATATATGATAAGTACTTTCCATGTCATTAGAATTTCCTTCCAGGTGTAATTTTTTAATGGTTGCATAGTACTCTACCACATTGAGTAGTTTAGTGACTCAGTCCTCTAATGCTGAACACTCAAATTACTTCCAATTCTTTGAATTTGAGTTATACTATGACGATCATCCTTATACATAAATTTTCGTGCTTAGCTCTATTTCTTTAAGATAAAAATATTAAATGGAGTTCTAAATTAAAGGGTGTATGCTTGTAAGGCATCCGATTCATATTATCAACTGCCTTCCAGAAAAACTATATCAGTTTCTATTCCCACCACCAGTATGAATGTGCTTATGTCTGAAATTTATGAATTATCATCTTTAAAAAAACAATTATGTAATCCTGTATCTCTAAGTCTTTGGTTCAAATCCAACTAAGGACTAAAATGACCACTCAAAAGTCACCAGGGAAGAATGTAGAAAAAAATATTAGTCCTTAACCTACTCTCCTTCTGTTTCATACTAAAAGGAAAATGCTGGTCTTTGCAACATAAAAGAAATGAGCTGCCTCCATCACAGGAGTGGGGGGTACCCTTTCAAGCCATAGGCAAGAACACTGTCTCATAACTAAGGCATGAACATATTAGAGAATAGAGGATGACTTCTATTTCATAGAGATAACAACCTCATTTATTCAAGGATTTGTCATACATCCTGCAAGACCTCTGGTCACCTGAAGTCTTAAAGAAAAGGAGCAGTGGGGAGGAGAAACTATGACAGTATTTGAGGAAAAACTTAAGCTTGCAAAATGAAGATTAAAAAATTCACAGAAGGGCTTCCAGCCAAGATGGAGGTGTAGGTAGATATACTTCACTTCCTCACACAACCTAAAGAAGGATCAAAACCAATATAAAATTTTAAAAAAACCAGAACTCCAAGAAAATTGAACTGTATGGAAGTCTACCAACCAAGGAGTTAACATCCAGACCGGTAGGAGGGGCAGAGATGGGCAGCCAGAGCAGAGAGGATGAGCAGCAAGGTGGTGGCTGGCAGACCATAGGTCAGTCCCACATTCGTATGCGGATAAACCTGCAGGAACAAATGGGGAGCAAGACAGACCATGCAACCTGGGTTCCAGCACAGGAAAAGAAAGTCTCAGAATGTCTGGCTATAAAAATCTGTGGGGGTAGCAGCAGGAGAAACTCCCAGTCTCATAGGAGAGCCTATTGAAGGGGTCCACAGGGTCCTAAATTGTACACAAGCCCACCCACCCAGGAATCAGCACCAGAAAAGCCCAATCTGCTATGGGTAGTGGGGGAAGGGACAGAAAGCAGGGCGAGAGCCAAGCAAGCAGAATTGTTTCCTCTCTGACCCCTCTCCCACAGACAGCACCACAACCCAGCCAAGTGGCTTGCCTTGCCCTGGCTAATACCTAAGGCTCTACCCCTTACAACATAACATGTCGCCAAGACAAAGAAATATGGCCCAAATGAAAGAACAGATCAAAACTCCAGAAAAAGAACTAAGCAATGAAGGGATAGCCAACTTATCAGATGCAGAGTTCAAAACTTTAGTAATCAGGATGCTCACAGAAATGATTGAGTATGGAAGGAAAAGAAAGGGAGAAGTGAAGGCTATACAAAGTAAAATAAAGAAAAATATACAGGGAACCAACAGTGAAGGAAAGGAAACCGAGACTCAGATCAACAATTTGTAACAGAAGGAAGACATAAACATTCAACAAGAACAGAATGAAGAAACAAGAATTCAAAAAAAAATGAGGAGAGGCTTAGGAACCTCTGGGACAACTTTATACGTTCTAACATTGGAATCATACGGATGCCAGAAGGAGAAGAGGAAGAGCAAGAAATTGAAAACTTATTTGAAAAAGTAATGAAGGAGAACTTCCCCAATCTGACAAAGGAAGTAGGCATGCAAGTCCAGGAAGTTCAAGAGTCCCATTCAAGTTGGACCCAAGGAGGAACACGCCAAGAAACATCATAGTTATATTACCCAAGATTAAAGATAAGGGGAGAATCTTAAAAGCAGCAAGAGAAAAGGAACTCCAAAGGAGTTCCCCTAAGACTATCAGCTGATTTCTCAAAAGAAACCTTGTAGGCAAGAAAGGTGTGGAAATTATTCAAAGTCATGAAAGGCAAGGACCTACATCCCAGATTACTCTATCCAGCAAAGCTACCATTTAGAATGGAAGGGCAGATAAAATGCTTCCCAGGTAAGGTCAAGTTAAAGGAGTTCATCATCATCAAGCCCTTATTATATGAAATGTTAAAGGGACTTATATGAGAAAAAGAAGAAGATCAAAAACTATGAACAGTAAAATGACAACAAACTCACAATTATCAGTAACTGAATCTAAAAAAAAGGACAAAAACAAAAACAAAGCAAACAACTGGAACAGCAACAGAATCATAGAAATGGAGATCATATGGAGGGTTATCAGCTGGGAGGGGGCTGGGGGAGTGGGAGGAAAGTTACAGGGAATAAGAAGCATAAATGGTAGGTACTAAATAGACAGGGGGAGGTTAAGAATTGTATAGGAAATGGAGAAGCCAAAGATCTTATATGTACGACACAGGGACATGAACTAGAGGTAGGGGAGGGAGGGGAAGTACCAGGCAGAGGGGGATAAAGAGGAGAAAAAAAATGGGACAACAGTAATAGCATAATCAATAAAATATACTTAAAAAAGAAATTCATCCTAATATACAATCAGGATGATATTATTATGCTTCAAAGACCAATTAGCTTACAAAGATAGGTAGCTTTGTTTATCATTGGTCCGTCCAGAAGCACCATAGTAGTCACTGAGTACTGCAGAAGGTTAGCGACAGTTAGCTTACCTCTTTCTGTGACTATTAGCTCTGTCATGGGAATGTTATGGTGCACGTCTGGGGGATTCTTCACAGCACAGCTGAATGTCCCATTGTCCTTCGTGGTAGGGTTGTTTATGCTTATGGATGCATCCCCTTTGTATACATCTCCAACCCAGGAAATTCGATCTCGAAACGTGCCTGCTGTGGTTGGGTACTGGAAGGACTGATAATGAAAAATCTAAGAAAGCAACACCATGAGGAAAAAAAAGTTAATTTGGAAAATGTAAAGCTTTGTAGGTCTAAAATAAAATACAAATGTATAATGAGTTTTCTCGGTTGGACATTTTTTAATGCTTTGTTCACCTCCATCCTATATGTGAAAAGATAGGTTAATGAAACATCAGAAAAATGCCGATGAAAGAATCTTGGTATCCTAACTCTGGAACCTCTTCTAAATTCTCCCTAAAGTCCTAAAACCATAGTCCTCAGCTGGGGGCAACTTTGCCCTCCAGGGAATATTAGGCAATATCTGGAGACAGTTTTGGTTGTCACAATTGGAGGACGTGCTACTGGCATTTAGTGGATAGACACCAGGAACGTTACTAAAAATCCCAAAATGCATAGAACAGCCTCCACAACAGAGAATTATCCAGCTCAAAATGTCAAGAGTGACAAAATTACGAAACCCTATTCCAAAGATAGGATTCTTATAGTACTGTATGGTTAGCAAATGACTTCTATGCATTTGCTATTTGAGCCTCATAGCAACTATACAAAGGGCAAGTATAATTATTCCATATTTATAGAAAGAGGTACAAGACAAAACAAAAACAAAAAACAAAAACTAAGTTACTTAAAGGCACATAGCTAGTAAGTGGGAAAGGGGAGATTTTTGTGTATTCTCAAAATCATCAGTAGGGTATAATATGATCAAGCCTCTCTCAAGCTACCTATCTTGGCAATTAATAAAAATCCCAAGTGAAAAGGATGATCAGTACTCAGTGAATGTATGCTGAATTAAAATGATGCTGCTTCCAATTTATAATAGCCAAGTGCTGGAAGCAACCTAAGTGCCCATCAATAAATCAGTGGCTCAGAAAACTTTGGTACATTTACACAATGGAATACTATGCAGCAGAAAGGAAGAAAGAGCTACTACCCTTCGAGACAGCATGGATGGAACTGGAGAACATAACGCTAAGTGAAATAAGCCAGGGGGTGAAAGACAAATATCATATGATCTCACCTATAAGTGGAACCTAATCAACTAAACAAGCAAGCAAGAAAAATTTAACCAGCAACACTGAAAGAAAAAAGAAACCAACAGTAACGAGAGAGAAGGAGGGAGTTGGGTAACGGGGAAAAGAAAAGGAAGGGTCAAGTCAAGGAACATGTATAAAGGACACATGGACAAAGCCAAAGTGGGGAAGGATTGAGGGTGGGAGGTGGGGGTGGGTGGGACAGGGGAGAGTGGTGGCAGGAAAATGGCGACAAATGTATTTGAACAAAAAAAAATAAAATGATGCTGCTTCAGATAAGTGATCAAACACTTCATCACCAAAAGCACTTACTGGAATTTTATCTGGTTGCAGGCCCAGCAGGTAATACAACACAATATGATCTCTCTCTCTCTTACGCAAGAGTCAAGGCTTTCCTCTTACTTGTTTACTTGGTACCTCCCCACTTAGGAACAATTGCCCAATTTTATAGAGCAACTTCCCAAAGTAAATGCTGAATCACTTCTCATTGGTTTATTTGTTCCTGTGTTCATTCAACAAATATTTACTGCAAACCTATTATGTGCTAGGCCCTGTGTTAAGCAAAAGGATATAATGAGAGCCAAATGAGCACAGTCCCTATTCTTGTGGAATTTACAGTCTAGTGGGAAAGACAGATATTAAGAAACAATAATATGTATAATGTGTGTTGCAGAAAGGGAGGTAAAGAATGCCTACTACTGATTACCAGCATCCACATGGCAGGGTTTGAAATTCCTTATTCACAAGGCAAGGCTGGCTGTGTATCTTTGAGATGAATCTAACCTCTAACTCCAAGTTAGTAATACTCAAATACTCAAAGTAATACTGATTAGTCTGACAGAACCCTGACTGACCACATAATTGCAACATCATGTGATACAACTTTAAAGGGCCACTAATTCCAACTTGGGTGGGCTGACCATCTGACCATCCTATCAGAGACTAGCACCACATTAGAACAACTTGCTGTTTGCATTCAAGACTTCTTACCCAAGAAAATCCCCATTGTTTTCTCTGTCCTACATAAAAAAGAAAAAAAAGACGTTTTTATTTATTTTTAGAGAGAAGGGAAGGGAGGGCAAAAGAGAGGGAGAGAAACATCAATCGGCTGCTCCGTTCACACCCCCAACTGGGGACCTGGCCCACAGCCAAGGCATGTGCCCTGATCAGGAATTAACCAGCCACCTTTCAGTTTGTGGGACGATGCCCAACCCACTGAGCCATACCAGTCAGGGCTCCTACTCCAGCAAAGAAGGCATAACTAAATAAGGCAGCCACAGTTTCCAATCACTCAAAATAAAGCAAACTATTTTAAGTCTTAAAAAAAGAAGAAAAAAGAAGGAGAAGAAGAAAGAGGGGAAAGGGAAGGAGACGGAGAAGAAGAAGAATAAGGAGGAGGAGGAGAAGAAGAAGAAGGAAGGAGGAGGAGGAGGAGGGGAAGAAAGAAGGAAGGAAGAAAAAGAAGAAAGAAGGAAGAAGAAAAGAAGGAAGAAAGAAGAAAGAAGGAGGAGGAGAAGAAGAAGAGGAGGAGGAGGAGGAGGAGGAAAGGAAGAAGGAAGAAAAAAGAAGAAGTGAGAAGAACCACCACCACCACCACCACCTCCACTACCACCTAACCCCAAGCTACATGGCATTCAATAATGACTCCTAAACAAAATTCAAAGCTATAAATTAAAATCACACCAAGAGTTTTTTCAATGAAGGAAACAGGAAAAACAAATTAAAGATACTTCCAAAAATACAATTTCACATACAGCTTTGACATTCACATTCTTGAGAACATCTATCCTGAACTAGGGATACTGCTGGAAGCATCAGGAGAAAGGGTTTGTTTGTTTTAATAGCACTGCCATCTTCAATCAGATATCCACAATGGGATTTGAACCATAAAATTTTTTATATGTGTGATGAGAGTGTATCACTTCTAAATAGTGCAAGACCATCTGTCACCAACAGCATCTGTCATCAACAGCAGGTGCCATTATTTCCTTCCAAGAGTACTCTATAAATCAATGCAGATGTTTAAACAACAGGGAAAGATGCCAAGATAAATCTATAGAGTACAAATACAGAGGCAGATCTACACACTGAGACAACTTTGTATGACAGTAAATGAGAAGCTTTAAGAGAAAGGATGGCTAGGACTGGGACCTGTAAGACTTTTCTATCCAAGAGTCCTAGACGTACCATTTTTTAGCACATGGAATCTGAAAATGATATTATGAAACCAGGCAAAAAGGAACAAAAAAGGGGAAATAAAATTAAACCACATTTCCTCTGAATTTTTTTCTCTTCTAGCTTACTTGCAAAGCTCTTACAGAGCAGAATAAAAAGTCTCACATGACCAAATGGGTATTATGTAGGATAGTGGCTCATCTCCTGTTGAAATAGAAGCTCATCCTCTATTTTTTTTTCCTTAATTTTTCTTAAAGATTTTATTTATCTATTAGTTTTAGAGAGAGAGGGAGGAAGGGAGAAAGAGAGGGAGAGAAACATCAGTGTGTGGTTGCCTCTCACACACCCCCCACCAGGGAGCTGGCCCACAATCCGGGCATGTGCCCTGACTGGGAATCAAACTGGCAACCCTTTGGTTTGCAGGCTGGCACTCAATCCACCGAGCCATACCAGCCAGGGCAAGAAGTTCATCTTCTATTCTAAGAAGAGAAGGCCTAAGGAATACCTGGGACTTGGAATAAAAGTATTCTTAAGCTTTTGACCACAAAAGACTCAAAGAACATTTTTTTAAGTATACACTTACTGATTCTGTGCGACTGCTGCTGGGAGGTCGGTATGTCCAATCTATGGTGAGTTTGTCAGTGACAGATGAAGTCGACTTGAAAATACATTTCAACTTGATCTTTTCTCCAACATATCCCCGAACGTGGGCATCCACTTTAATCTCCAAGGAAAGGACTGTGTGAACACCTAAACAATGCAAACCCAAATATTTAAAGTGTTTTTATTTGGGTAGAATATACAGATCACTAAACAATATAAAGAAGCTTTTTATCATTTTCAGGGCTCTCATACAAACCACAGCAATAAATATCTTCTCATGCAAGCCCAAAAGGAGAAGGAGTGGATGTCTGCCTTAATCAAGGATATTATTTTTGTCATTTTACAACAGTATATCATAGGATGAATGCTTAGGTAAAATTTGAAGGCTACGTCAGCATTTTTTCCAAATACAAACTTTTGGTTAAATTAAGCACAAACAAGTGGGTCAGCCGATAGCAGGCTAAAAGATAACACTACCCACTCCCCTGGCACACTTACACACTCCAGGAATCTGTCAGCTGTTGTATTCTAAGAGATGTAACTCAAATACAGCACAGGTGTAATCTGAAGCTACTATGGCTTCAACCACCAGCAAAATAAGGATAGCAAGAACAAGATTTTTTTTTCAATTAATTTTATAAAACTGCCCTAAGGTTCTATCTAGTTTTATTTTGGGTTTTCCTTTCTTAAAGCTAGTTAATAAATCACATATCCATTAAAAGTAAATCAGGGGGAAGAAAACAGAACAACTTAATCCATTCTAAATGTGAAAATGAAATATAACTTTTAAATCCTCTAGAGACTTGCTCTTTCCAAAACCACATCATATGTCCAACTTTGGTGCTCTACTACCCCAAAAGAGTTGGCACCTTTCTCTGACCAATCCCCTCTGCTTTCAGAGAACAATGAGTAGACATTTCTCTCCCAGTAGGGAGCCCCTCACCTTTCTTTATTTTTTGGAAAGTAAGCCACTGGCCACTTTGTTTTTCCTGCTTCCTTCTCTATGGCAACAAGCCATGATTGTTTCAGGAGGCCAAAAGCAAACAGAGCAGCAAACTCACACACTGTCCTGAACACCAGCAGTTCCCCTGGTAGAGGCAGGATGCATATCCCAGCCCTATCACTTGCTGGCTCTGTGGTCTTTGCAAGTTACTTTATTTTTTCAGTTTCTCACTCTGGTGGGAATGATAGTAATAGTACTTATCTTAGAAGGTCACTGTGAGGAATAAATGAGTTAAAACATTTACAACACTGAGAAGCTGAACTAACCCAGAGAGAATGCTCAATGCAGGTTAGTAGCTTCATCGTTATTGCCACATCTTCAGTTCTGCCCATACTCTCAGCCTTTCCTATCTCAGACACAGTTATGAGTCATTCATTCCACTACCTTTATTTCTGCTGCTTTGCATAATTTTTCTTGCTCCTCTCTAGACAATCCAGTTTGTTCACATTCTTCTTAAAGGAGGAGAACAAGACTGAGCTCACAACTCTAATAAGAATCTGACCCATCCCAAGGATAATTACTTCTGGTTCATTCATAGTATCCTATCTGACTTTGACATAATAAACTTGTCATTCCTTCTATGCCTTTATGAATGCTGTTCCTTTGCCTGGAAAGCAGTCAACCCTCAGTCCCTACTCTCTCCTGAAACACCTTATTCATCACTCAAGATCCAGTTCTGAAAAAACGGAAGGTGGAAATGAATGGATAAACTACACTCTCCCCATAACCCCATACCCTTTATTCTAAAACATAAGTATAACAAAGAGATTTTAAAGTATGGATTTAGAATTAGACAGACCTCAACTTTGATTTCTAGCCCAGCTACTTTCTAGCTATAAGACCTCGATCAGTTATCTAATCTGTTTAAACTTCAATTTCCTCACTTGGTATATGGAAATAATAACAAGACCTAATTCACTGAATCACTGTGAGGATTTAATAAAATTAAATAACCACAAAATGCTTAGCATAGCACCTGAAAAAGACACTTCCAATAAATATTAGCTACTATTATTAAAATAAACACCACAAACATTCCAAAAGTTCCAATAATTCTCTATTGGACTATAGGATAAAATACAAATAGTGACAGTCTGTCCCAAAATTTGCTTCTCCACCCAGTGACCCATCCCCTTCACCATGTGCTGAATGTCCTGCCATTTCCTAAATTTACTATGTCCTTTTACATTACTGTGCCTTTCTTTAAAAATGTCTGTCTGGAAGGATCTCCCCACCCCTACCTGTCCTGCCTGGGTTGTTTCCCCCAACCCCCATCCCCCAATGCTCACATACTTTCAAAACCCACCTCAAATATCAGCCCCTTTGTGATGCATGCCCAAATACCCAGATGCATTTCATTGTTCTTTCTTCAATGTTCTCATTGCATTTAGTACATAATGCTATTCAAATACATATATCACTGATCACACTCAGTTTCAAAAGATGATTTCCTCCTTTAATGCAACCACCTCGAGAGCAAAATTCACAAGAAGGGAAGCAGGCAGAGAGGGGCTGAGAGAAAGAAGTAGACGGGTCACCAAAAACTGTAGTATGGGACTAAAGTGTGCTCACTAGTCACCCACTCTCCTCCTATCCCTCTTTTATGGTATTTTCAACATTCTTAAGGTCCCTACACTCCTGGATGACAGTGCCTAGACTGTGGCTGGTGGACACTGAAGGAGAAAAATCACACAACTGCACAGATAGTTGCCATAAGAAATTCATGAATTCCACCCACAGCTGAGCCTTTAATGACACTGATGGCCCTTTAACCAGGCTTGGTCAGCTCCTCTTTCTGAGTCCTTTAACACTGCCATTCTCTTTCATCCTCTGTGTACCTACAAATCCCTCATTCTCAGAAGAAAATTTCTCCCCTTACTTCTTCAGGAAACTTGAGGCCATACAAACTGCCTGGCCATACACCTTCCTGTAGCTGCGTTCATCTTTACTTCCAACCTTCGCAGTGTCCCTTTTCCTACACAAGTCAACTCTTCTGCTCTAGGGAAGACAACTGGGAGGAGTCAAGAGTAAATATAAGATTACTTAGAAGGCCACTACAATAGTCAATTGAGAAATAAGGGGAGCTTGAACTAAGTTGGTGGCAGTGGACATGGAGAGAACTAGGGTGACAATACTTAAAAGGCAAAATCAGCAAGAATTGGTGACAGATCACATGTGGAATGAGAAAGACAAGTGTCAAGGATAGCTCGCAGGTTCCTGACTTGGTGATACCATTCACTGACACACACAGGAAGACTAGAGAAGTACCCAGCTTGGCAGGAAAAAACATGAGTTTTAAATAAGTTTCAGGTGCCTTTGAGATATCCAAGGGATGATGTCAAGGGGGTAGCTGGTTTAGGGCAAGGTCAGCAAACTATGGCTCACAGGTCAAATCTAGCCCACATCTACACGAACTTTTGTTGTTGTTCCAACAAAAAGTTGTTTTGTTTTGTGTTTGAGAGGAAAAGGGGAGAAATATCAGCGTGAAACATCAACTGGTTGTCTCCCATATGAGCCCCAAGTGGGGATCAAACGCACAGCCTAGGCATGTGCCCTGACCCCATGATCTTTTGGTGTATGGGATGATGCTTCAGCCACTGAGCCACACTGGCCAGAGCTATGGTAAGTTTGATTAGAATAGAGGCATGCTGACTCATTGATATATTGTCTTAGGATGTTTTTGTGATACTTCAGCAGAGTTGAGTAGTTGCAAAAAACCATGTGGCCCACAAAGCCTAAAATATTTATTCTCTGGCCCTTTACCAGTTTGCCAACTTTGGTCTAGAGCAAAGAATATGGCAACCAACTCCACACACATTCCCCATCTTTCACGGTTTCTATCAAATCTCTAAGTCTCTTCCTTTCCTACTGTCCCTTAAACACTAGTGTGTCTTAAAGTTCCATTCTTCGCCCATGGTCCTTCATTTAACATTCTTCTTGGATAATCCTATCCACTTTTATATATTTAACAATTGCTAGTAGGTTAATGATTCCCCAATCTATATTACTACCCATCACTTGTCTCTGAGTGTCCAAATATTACTAGATATATTCTTGAATATCACCACCATAAGATCTCATATTGAATGTAGTGAACTTCTACCGGTTGCCTGCTCTACCCATTCCCCTCATCTCCTTTCCTAACAATACACAGCTCTTCTTTCAATATCCACCATTTCCAATGCAGCCCAAGAGCTTGGGGGAAGATACCTCTATCAGATACAGCCCAGGCAGGAAACAGAAGTCATAACTAACTGAGATTTTGAAAAGTGTACGGCCTACTTTTCAAAGGGACTTTTCTCAGGGTCAAGGAAGCCAACAAAGGCACAAGAACTTTTCCACCCCCACACCGGAATTAACAAAAGAAGGAAGTGGTGTTAGCAGAGCCTGGTAAGAGATGGAGATATCACCACCTGACAGAAGCAGCAGTCATAAAGGGTCATAGCCACTAAACCAGACTACATTACAAATCAGTACATCAGGATGTTGGTTCCCCTTGGGGAAGGACAGATAATGACTGCAAGGAAGCACAAAGAAGGCTTCTGGAGTGCCAGTAATGTTCTATATCCTGATTTGGGTGCCAGTTACCCAAGTGTGTTCAGTTTCTGACAATTCATTGAGCTGTACCCTTATGATATGCCCACTTTTCTCTATATATTATACTAAAATTTAAAGTGTTTTAAAATCAATGGATATAAAATAATTTGTCTCCACTTAAAAAATAAATAAGAAAAAATATTGATCCAATGTTACATTCATTCATAAATTTCTATCCTTGGGCTTAATCTACTTATGAATATTTTTCACCTGAGTAAAAACAGCATTCTTTTCAGGTAAAAACAGCTAACTATAGAAATATTCATGATAATTAACAAAATTTTTAATCTGGGAGGAAAACAAGAAAATGACATTTAAACATGGAGGAGAGGAAAAAATGAAAAAACTCCAAATTTTGAACACCAGTTTTCCAAAATATAAATCTATCAGCCTTTGATATATGAAACTGCCCACTTAAATGAAAGAGAAAAGTATAAAAACCTTAGGTGCCTAATCTACTGAATCTACTGTTTTTAATACTTAGACAACTGATATAGCAGGACCACATTTACAACATAGGGAGAATTCAAACAAGCTAATAATTTGATGGGTCCTATTTTTATAGAAGCAAGAAAAACACTGGTATGAAACAAAGGTATCACCTAACAGATTCAAAATATCAAGAACCCTCACCCCAAAAAAGGATTAACCTTGAAAACCTGCTAATTGAAAGAAGCTGGTCACAAAAACAAACAAACAAAAAAACAAAAAAACCCCACATATTATAGGATTTCATTTATATGAAAGGTCCAGAATAGGCAAATCCATAGCAATAGAAAGTAGACTGATGTATGCCAAGAACTGTAGAAAGGGAGGAATGGAGAGTAACTGTTAATGGGTTTGGAGTTTCTCTTTGGAGTGATGAAAATGATCCCAAATTGATTGTGTTAATGACTGCACAATTCTGAATATACTAAAAACCACCAAACTGTACACTTTAAATCGGTAAATTGCATGGCATGTGAATGTATTTCAAAAACGCTATTCTTTTGAAAAGGCAAAAGATAAATCTATTCAACAAGTACACAGATCATAAAATCAACTTTGAATGTTTAAATTATTTGGTCTGCTAGATCTGATGCATGCCAGATGTGAAATGATATCATGTTTAAAAAAATCACCCACCATTTCTACATTTTTCTTCTTCAATGGGGCAATATTTGAATGTTGCTGTTGGGGGTAGGATGGAGGTCTGGGGTTATATGGAGTGGCAGTAGGTTAACCTAAATATTCTACTGCAAAATAATTTAGCTGAAAAACTGGACATTTGTAATGACACAGACAACTAGGAGGGATTCAAAAATGTGCTGGCAGCATGAATATTACATGTCAGACAAATAAAAACTTCTGGCCTTACCTGCTGAGATGTAGAACACTTTAAATCTTTATGTTAAAGGTACCCTTCAGAAATTCTCATTACCCACAGGGAAATTTTAAGATGTTAACAAGTCATTCTAATGCTAGCTCTACTAACATATGATTTCCCAGAAAGACACACAAACACACACACACATACATAATTTTTAAAAATCCAGCAAATGACTGTAACCTAAAATGAAGGTAATTAGGCCTGACTGAAACTTAATGCAATTTGAAAACTGCATGAAAGCAAAACTTATCCAAATTTTAAGAATATGCCATTGTGTGAATACTTCCGATATTAATTAAAAGTATACATTAAAATTTTAACAGATTTGATGTGCCCTTTATTGTACTTTTTTAACTTGCTATTAAAATGCTAACGCTGTTGCTTTTTCCTCAAAAAAATGCGCCTCTATTATAAACAAATCACAGCATATCTTCCCTGTAATAAACGTTTTTACTTCATAGGCCCTGATAATCACCTACCAAAAATAAAATTACCAAGTCATGCTATTCTCTCCCAAAATACTGGACAAACTAATGAACAATAGAATTGCCCTTTCCAAATCATAACATACAGCCCACAAACCACAGTTGAGTCAATCACAAGATAACGCCGGGTGCACTCAAAACCAGAGCCCTCCACGGTTCTATCAAGTCCCGCCATCACCACTACACAATGCAGTCACGCAAGGTGGCACAGATCACAGGGGCTCAGGAAAGTACTGGCAAGCTATTGACTCCACTGAGTGGATAGTCATCACAAGAAGAAACCATCCTCCCAACACCTTCCCGCTTCCTTCCTTCCCCGAAGCATTATGGGGGGGTTTCCTGAGACGGCTCCCCACCCGGAAGCGGAATAGCGACCATCTTCTCTAACCGCCCCCCCAACTCCCCCCACCCCCCGCGGCCGGCCGGAAGTGGGGCTGAGCCAAGCAGCACACTCACTCTGGAAGAACAGGACGCCCACCAGTGGAAGCAGAGCGGAGCCGCGCGAGGCCGTGGCTGCGCTCCGCTTCATCCCGACAGCTCTCCAGATGCTTGTACACCTTGTTTACGGCTCCCGGTAGCAACGCAGGTAACACCGGAAGTGACGTAAAACCGAGGTGGCGGAAACCCTTAAAATGGCGATTCAAAGTTGCCATGGGAACACGGGGTTTTTGGTTGTGTTTTTTTTTCCAGAACCACATCTGGAATTGTTCATTGGCCACCGAATGCTTTAATTCTCCAGTAGGAGTTGTTTATTCTCTTTTGCTTGTAATTGAGATAGGCTACAGACTTGGGGAAATTTACTTTTAAATTTTATGGAATGCTGCAGACAAAATAGTCTTATTCTCTGACTCTATTCCTGAAGGTACTTTTTTTTTTTTTTAACTTCCCTCAGGTTATTTTATTTGACTGCTCCCAGAATAGAATTCAGTAAGTTTAGGGTTAAAAAGGACCTAGGAGGAGGGCCCTGGCTCTTGTGGCTCAGTGGATTGAGCACCAGCCTGCCAATCAGAGTCACAGGTTCCATTCCCAGTCAGGGCACATGCCTGGGTTGCGGGCCAGGTCCCCAGTAGGGGGCGCTCCAGAGACAACCACACATTGATGTTCCTCTCGCTTTCCCTCTCCAAAAATAAATAAATAAAATCTAAAAAAAAAAGAAAAAGAAAAAGACCTAGGAGATAATACAGGATCAGTCAGTCAACATAAATATGTATTAGGCCTTCGTGGTAAATTAGGCCTTAAGTCTTTTCCCCTTTAAGGGGAAAAAGTTGTTCCCCTTTAAGGCCATGTTCTTTTTTGCATAGCTATTACATATTCCAGCTAAGCATCTACCTGAATTGAGTGTTTATTACATTGCTGTTGACAGTGACAATGATGAAATCATTCCAACGTGTAATAGAAGGAAGAGTAAGCTGATGTTTGTAGAGCTTTTACTTGGAAAAGTGAGAAAGTAATGTTTTCATAGTGCTTGAAATTAAGAGATGATGTCATGCTTCTGAAAAAGAAATGGAATGGTACCCTGCTTTAATCATTAGTCAACCTGGAATCTTAGTATATTTAATGAAAGTAAGAGGGGAACAAAATTCTGCTTCAGTTTTTGGGAAAGTTTAATAACTTGCCACTTTCAACTCTCATTCCTTTACTAGATTTGAAAGCAGGTAGTTTTCACCATTAAGAAGGTATTATAAGAGTACCAGATGGAATAGATGATACTGTTCCTTTGAAAGGATCCCCAAACTAAGTACTATGCCATGCCAGATTCTGAGTTATCCAAAGCAATGTGAAAATTCTCTGAAACTCCATATAGGCTTATTGATCCAGTAGAAATTAATTCTATCCATTATTGACTTCCAGGCTACTGGTAAGAAAAGTTTTTGATGAAGGTAAAATACATGTCCATCAATTTTCTGTCACCTGCTATGTAAAATTTAGATTTTTATATAGAGCAAATTATATAACTGTTGATTTCTTTTTATGGCTAAGGGTTATTTACATAAATGTTTAAGGCACACTAAAATTATAAATTACAGTACAGTTCTCTTTAGGAAGACACTGAACAATAGGGCCATTATTAACCATTGAGTATTTAGCCAAGAGACAGCTATAAGTTTTGCTGGAAAAACATTCCATGAGTTTTTAACTACTCCTTCATTATACTTATGGAACATCATCCAAGCCACCTGTTTGAAGAAACATCCAGTTTTTATATTCTGAAAGAGTGAATTATGGAAAGAAATAGAAAATGTGAATTGCAAGTAATAGAGACCTGAAATCTAATTTTTGTTTCAAAACTGGGTATTGAAGCTTTACTTCTTTAAACAGTGTAATAGGCAAAATGAGACAGATATGGAATGTATTTGAGAATTAAGATTTGTGTGTAAATTAAACCAATTAAAAAAAATTGGAAAAAATACCAAAGTGCAGCATCTTTAAATTTGAAAATTCCAGTTTGTAAAAGATATAACATCTTTAGCCCAGACAGTGAAAACTGAAAATACCATGTTGCAAAGATTTTTGGGAGACACTTTTAGATGTTTTCTGTCTTTTGAATAAATTCTGGTATAACTTAGGCTTGAAAAGAAACCAGGAAACTAGACCCTTTTAGAAAGCTCTTTTCTTTTCATAGCCCACGTGTAAAGTTTCCTTTATGTACTAATACAAGGGGAAAAAGAATAAAGTTGGTTTCATTCTGTTAGTTTTGGTATTTCTTTGCCCCATACCAAATTCTCTCCCCAAAAAGGCAAATTTCTAAAAAAAGAAAAAAAATTAAAACATCTCTTCCAATCCTCAAGCTTTGTATAACACTGTACAAAATAATTATCATTTAGGGTTGATTCTTTTTTCACCAGCCCTAAGTTTTTAAAGTCATAAGATACTATTCCAGAATTCTCCTATTTAACTGCTCAGTGATTCCAGTCTACAAATGAATAAGCATAGACTTTGCTGTTTTGTTATAGATCATTTAAATGGGGCCGGGGGCAGGCAGGCAGGGCACAGTAAGCTAAGCAGTCATTCACTGCTCATAAAAGACCTGCACTGTACAATACAGAAAAAAAGGTGACAAGCAGTTCCATCCTGAGAGTGGCATTTTTCAACATATTAGCATTTAAGTAACCTCTTCATAGTTACTCTGTGATTTACACTTGTTCTGTGGTAAACCTTAGATCAATTGACAAAAAATAAAAAATTATCATCTAGGATACTAAAATTCTATAAAACAAGATGTGTCTCAGATTTAAGGAAAGCCATAAAAATCAAACTATTCTTTAACAGTTTAAACATAGTATTTTCTTTTAATCAAAAAGAGCTGGGAGAAATAGCTCACCTTTTAATTGAGAATGTGAGAAGAAAAAAGTAAACACATTAACTTTAGTAGTAAAAGTGCTGCTCTAAAGAAACTAATATGTAAAAGGAAATGTCATGATAGACAAGTTGGCTTTTATCCCACTTGCTGCCAATATATGTATATACAAGTCATAACTTACAAAGCAGTACCTAAGGGCAAAAATGTTGCTTCATAGTATACAAAAGCTAACTTGAAATTACTTGCATTCTAAAATGAAATAACTCCTTAGTAATGGGTCTGGGCATGAGTATGGTGGTATCTTTTCAAGAAGGGCCCTATGCTGGCTCCAGAGGGACATTATTTGTCTAGGTGGTCATATACTGTAGAGCTGGTTGGAAGACAGGTCACAACTGAAAAAAAAAAAAAGCCAAAGAAAAGCTTCCATTAACTTCAGTTTATCCTAGGGTTCTGGTTCTTGGAAATCTTCAGCCTCCTGAAATACAAAAGTTTAAATGGATAATGCATTTGGGCAGAGTGCATTAGGAATACCTAGCATTATGAAATACATACACATCATTAGATCTGTTGTTCATTGTGCATGAAAATATTCTTAAATATATTTATTCTCCCCCTAATTTAACTTTTAAAAGAAGTTTCCTGATCCTTATTCTCAGAGCCAGTGTCTTTAATTCATAGCCTCTGCCTCGTGTGGACACTTTAATGATCCTTAGCTCATTCACACAGACATTTCCCTTCCCACCCTCCCTCCCTCCCTCCTTCCCTCCCTCCCTCTTCCCTCTCCCTCCCTCCCGTCCTTTTATTATAAGTAAAATCAAACATACAGACAAATAGAGAAGACAAGAATTCACACATCACCTAATTTTAAAGCATTTTGCCTTATTTAATATATTTTTGGCTGAAAAATTACTGACTTTTTATCCCTAAATACTCAAATGTACATTTTAAAAATAGGGACATTTTTCTATATAACCACAATATACTTATTATACCTAATACAAATTCATAATTCCACAATATTATCCATACTCAAACATTATTCAAGACTTTCCCAGTTATCACCCCAAATCTTTTTACAACTAGTTTATTCAAACTAGTATTCATCCAGTCAGGGACTCACATGTTGCAATTGATTCTGTTAGTTCATTAAATTTCTTTGACTGTGAGAGAGTTCCATTTTTTTTTTTCCATGACCTACATATTAGAGAATTGGCTGGGTTTTAAAAATAAATAGCCCTTGGTAAAATCTCTCTGATACTAAATTTGTTTTTATGGGTATACAATAGAGTCATTTCTCGCCATATTCTATTATATAAATCCTTCAGGTCTTTCACTGGAGTTTTAGGCTACTAAAAGGTGACTCTTTTTGCAAAGAATAATAGTGGACCTACTTCAGACAATAGAAGAAATTCTGATTATATTAAAAAATTAAATCATCCTACCTTTTAAGCCTGATAAACCTGAAAACTGGAAAAAGAAAATTACATACTACTAAAATTGGATAAAACAAAATGATACACTACTAAAATCGGGTTCATGGTCCCAATATCTAAATGAGAGGAATTGAAATCCATTCCACATAGTACAACAGTTCTTCTGCCAGAAGGTCAGGGACATCTATTGAGTCACTCTTAATGCCATTATCAATTTACAATAAAACAAAACAAGCAGATATTAATCCACTTGTTTAAAAACATTTATTTACACGTTGAAAGTTAATTTATTATTCCAGGTGAAAAATATAGCCCCCAAAGCCTCAAATAATATTAGAATTCTCTCAGTTTTAATGGTCTAGCTTCCTAATATTTTGTACAAAATGAACCTCAAAGGGGAAGCTATCCATAATTACTAATAGACTTTTACCTTCCTGATCCAGCTGCTCTAGTTTCATATAGGAAACACCTAATAATCATATAATCTGGGAGATCTATATTAGAGATGAGCCAGAAAGCTAAGGAAAGAAATTAACCCATTTGTGAACCTCACCATCTAAGAATGTTAGTCTGCATCTTCTAAATAAACAGCAACCTTTTTTTCTTGGTCGAGTCTTTCTTCTTCTTTTCTGTAATAAAAAAAGCAGAAACTAATGTTAAGTGAACAATACAAGAAACAAGGGAGACAAATCTTACAAAGCTTCAAGTGAGATATTTCCCCCGCTATTTGGGGAAGAATTATATGTACCTGGGAGTAGATCCAAGCTTACAGAGAGCTATATCACTAGTATCGCCTAACTAATAATACTCATGCCTTAACATGACCCTCAGTATCTGAACTCAGACATTTTTCAGAATATTTTTAGAAGGGAATATATAATTTGGGGGCCCCAGCCGTTCAAAGCCGATACCTTAGTTTACCATTAGTATCTGATCTCCAATTCTACTCTTTATTCATAAAAGAAAAAGTTTTGAGGGAAGGGAGGTTGGGGAACTTGGAGAGGGAGGTGAGGGGATTAAATACAAATTGGCAATTACAAAATAGTCAAGGGGATGTAAAGCAAAGCATAGAGAATATAGTCAATAATATTGTTATAGCTATGTATGGTGCCAGTTGGGTACTGGAAATATTAAGGGAACACTATGTAAAGTATAAGACTGTCTAACAACTATGCTGTATACCTGAAACCAAGACAAAATAATACTGAAAGTAAATTGTAGTTGAACAACTTAAAAAAGAAAGAAAAAGTTTTGTATTGACCTAGAAGTCATCTTTATTGATTATGTTGAATTTAAACCAAAATCTCAGAGTTGGGCTCATTAGTCTCCTTTCAATTCTACTTAAGTCAATAAAAATTTCTCAAGGAAAGCAAACAAATGGTGCTGGGGGCACCAAAAAGCTGCAATTTGTGCAAAAGAATGAACTTGGATTCCTACTTTACACCATATACGAAAATCACCTCAAAATAAATCAAAGACTTAAATGTAAGATGTAAAACTGCAAAACTCTTAGAAGAAAAAAACATAAATCTTCATGGCCTTGGGTTAGGTACTGGTATCTTAGATATGACACCAATAGCATAAGCAACAAAAGAAAAAAATAGATGAATTGACTTCATCAAAATTTTAAACTGTTGTGCTTCAAAGAACACTGTGAAGAAAGTGAAAAGACAGCCCAAAGAATGGGAGAAAATCATTGCAAATCATATATCTAATAGGGCACTTTTAGATACTCCAAAATAGAACTAGTACAACTCAACAATAAAAAGACAACCCAATTTTTAAATAGGCAAAACATTTAAATACATATATCTCCAAAATGATATACAGAGGGCCAATAAACACATGGAAGGATGGTCAACATTGTTAGTCATTAGGAAAATACAAATCAAAACCTCAGTGAGAAGCCACTTTACACCCACTATGGCTATAATCAAAAATCAAAAGGACAGACAATAACAAGTGTTGTCAATGATGTGGGCAAATCGGAACACTCATACATAGCTGGTAGGGATGTAACATGGTGCAGCTGTTTTGGAAAAGAGTTTGGCAATACCTCCAAAAGATAAATATAGCGTTACCATACATTCTAGCAATTTCACTTTTAGGTATATATCCAAGAGAATATACCTAAAGGGAAAAACTTACAGATTTATGTTCATAGCAGCATTAGTCAAAATAGCCAAAAAGTGGGGAAAATCTAAATGTCCATCAATTGAGTGAATAGAACAAAATGTGATATATACATACAGTGGAATATTATGCAGCCATAAAAAGGAATGAGCAATAATACATGCCCTAACATGGATGAACTTTGAAAATATTATACTAAGTCAAAGAAGCCAAACAAAAAGGCCACATATGTCATTATTCCATTTATATGAAATATCCAGAATAGGCCAATCCATACAGGGACAGAGCAGGTTAGTATTTGTCAGGGTCAGGTGGTGGGTAAAATAGCAAGTGACAACTAAAGAATATGCACGAGTTCCTTTTAGGAGTGAGGAATATATTCTGGAATTAGTGGTGACTATGAAATATTAAAAAGGTGGATTTTAGAGTATGTAAATTTTTATCTCTAAAAATATTTATTAAGCACCTCATTTCCATATGGTTGACTTTCCTAGGTACTGATTCATAGTGTTCCTGCTGACTACCCAGTAGTTCTTGTATGAGTTACAATAAAAGAAATGAGTATTCTGCCATGGCTGCTATGGCTCAGTGGACCGGGCATCATCCCACAAACCAAAAGGTCATGGGTTTGATTTCTGGTCAGGACACATGCCTGGTTCACAGGTCAGGTCTCCAGCTGGGGGTAACCAATTGATGTTTCTCTCATGCATCAATGTTTCCCCCACCTTTCTTCCTCCCTCCTTTCCTTTCTATGTAAGAATAAATAAAGTAAGTAAGCAGTATTCTAAAAAAGTTTTACATAACAGATTTTTCAAAAATTTTTATACAATATTATATTAGTTTCAGGTGTACACCCTAGTGATTAAACATTATATAACTTACTATGCGATCATCCCAATAAATCTTGTACTCATCTGACATAACGGATTTTAATAATCTCAAATCCTCCATAATAGAGAAAGACTATAATGAAATCTTCTGTAAAATTAAGAATCCTTTTGTAAAATTACTAGCTCATGTCCTAATTTATCCATACTGGAAATTTGAATTATTTTATATAAGATTTATTCAAAGGGAAGACTATCTGTTCAACAGTTATTTAGCCTCATTGTAAAACACCAAGTGTCACCATACAAGAGTATTGAAAGATTTTCCCAGAACTGCCCAGCCTTACGATTTTATCTCCACCACTTTATGAGCTCTTTCAGCCCATCGCTTTTTCCGGAAATGCTGAAAGAGGACTACCACAATTACTATTATGACCATCAGTGCACAGGCGGAGCCAATGGCCAGAGCCAGGAAATACATCTCAGAGAAGCGTACTGTAAGGAGAAAAAAGGTCAAGTTAGGATTCTATAAAAGAGGAGGATTATGAGAAATCTAAAGATGTAATAGAGATGAATTGTTATCAGTAAATGGAATCCTTCTTCTAACATATTACCTTATAAACTCTAGTAGTAATAGGAAGGCCATACAGACTACTTTAGTGGTTCGCAGACTATAGTCCTAGGAGTAGCAGGAACAGAACTTTGAAACACAAATTATCAGGCCCCACCCAGGCCTACTGAATGACAGGTGGGGCTGGCAATTTGTTTTAACAAATCCTCCAGGTTATTCTGATGCAAGCTAAAATTATGAGAACTACTAGGCCAGTTGAGTAAGGTTATTGCTGACCTAATCAATCCAGGACCCAAACTCTCCCTAACTATCTTTACCATTCATTTGGTCATTTATTCAGATTTATTAAGGGCCTACCATACTCCAGGCACTAATGGAAATATCAAGCCAAAAAAAGACATTACCTTCAAGGAACTCATGCCCACTGGGAAGATGGGCGAGTAAGTCAGTAACTACAGTCATGCATCATTAATGATTTTTTTAGGGATACGTTCTGAGAAATGCATTGTTAGGCAATTTTACTACTGTGCAAACGTCATAGAGTGCACTTACACAAGCCTACATATTAGAGCCTACTACACTCCTAGGCTTATGAATAGCCTATTGCTTATAGACTACAAATCTCTACAACATGTTACTGTACTGAATCCTGTGGACAATTATAACACAATGATCAGTATTTGTGTGTCTAAACATATCTATACATGCAAGAGATACAATAAAAATATCGTATAAAAGGTTAAAAATGGTACACCTGTATGGGGCACTTATCATGAATGAACTTTGCAGCACTAGAAGTTGTTTTAAGTGAATCAGTGAGTGGTGAGTGGCAGTGAAGGCTCAGGACATTATTGTACATGACTGTAGAATTTATGAACACTATATACTTAGGCTACTCTAAATTTATTTTAAAATATTTTTCTTCAATAAATTTACCTTAGCTTACTGTAACTTTTTTTACTTTATAGACATTAATTTTTTTAACATTTCAACTTGTTTGTAATAATACAGCTTAAAACTCAAACATGTTGTACAGCTGTACAAAAGTACTTTCTGTATATCCTTATTTTCTAAGCTTTTTTCTATGTTTAAATTTTTATTTTATTTGTTTACTTTTTAAACCTTTTTGTTAAAAACTAAGACACAAACACACATAAGCCTAGGTCTACACAGAGTCAGGATTGTCAATATCACCATTTTCCACCGCTACATCATATCCCCCTATGTCTTTGGGGGCAATAACACACATAGAGCTGTCGTCTATCACCATGCCTTCTCCTGGAACACCTCCTGAAGGACCTGCCTGAGGCTCTTCTTGAGGAGGTATCACTCTTTTCAGAAATATGTCCATGGTGGTTTGCTTGGTCTGTTTTTTTCTTATCATAAATTTGCTTGTAGGCAGATAATGCACCATGAACATTCCTCTCTATTAATGAAAACCTTTCAGTGTTGTGGTCCATGATTTTAAGCTTTTTAAGGAGCTTACTGAGGTCTGCAAAAGCTTCTGCTAAATCTTCACTGTGAGTTTTCCTGAGGGTTCTTACTCTTCTCCTGCAGTTTCCTTTTCTCTTGCCTCCCCTTTAACCATGTATTGCTGTTCCAGTTCCAACAACTCCTCGTTAGTCAATTCCTCAGGAACCACATCTAGGAGCTCCACAAGTCATTCTCATCCACATTCAGGTTAAAGTTGTTTACCATCTCTACCACAGCCTTGTTTTTTGCAACTTTTGTGCTATGACGTGATGATGGCTACGACGTCACTGGGTGGTAGCAATTTTTCAGCTCCATTATAATCTTATAAAACCAGCATTGTATGTGTGGTCCATTGTTGATTGAAACGTCATGATGTGACACAGGACTGTATTGTCTAGTGGGTAAATGATGTAAGAGGAAACCCAGAGGTAAAGGTCCCTAAACAAAGCTAGAGTCTGTGAAGCCTGGGTCTCCTGTCTTTAAGCTTGATTTCTGATTTAAACTTCAAAAGACCCTCAGAACCAGAAAAGACATTAGAGAATATCTAGCTCAGGTGTTCCCAGACTAGATACCATGAAGGAGAGGGGAGAAGAGACCACAAGCCCACAGCATCCATGTCGTATTTTTTTGTGTACATTTTGGGGTGGTGAGGAAGCAGGGCTGCCATGGATTTCATTAGATCTCAAAGAGCAGTGACCTCATTATGTTTAAGAACCATGTGTTTTTGTCTAATCAGTTCATTTTGCAGATGGAGAAACTGAAGTCCAAAGGTATTCTTTCAACACTCAGATTACTTCTCCAAAGTCACACAGCGCTCTATTGATAGAGCCTTGAAGAATGGTACTAAGAATGAGTTGGAGGAAATCATACCACTTTAAAGGGTAGTAATATTGTGTCTTGGTTAAGAGCACACACCAGAGAAAGCTCCACCATTTATTAGCTGTGTCTTTTGGGGATAATAATTAACTTCTTTAAGTGTCAGTTTGCTCAATATATAAAATAGAGATAACAATATCCATTTCTTGCATTCTTATAAAAAGTAAAAGTACTCATTTAAATTGTTCCATGCTATGCCTGCACATAATAAACACTCAATACATGGTAGCTATTATAATTTTCAGTACAATTCATAGTCTGGGAAATTTTTACATTTATTATGTCATTTTATCCTCACCATAATCCTTGCTATATTGTTTTCACTTTACTGGAAGGAGAGAAAAAAGATGTATTTACAGCTAGTAAATGGTAGCATTTACAGACCCAAATGTACAACTCTGAAGTTTTATGGTCTTCACTCTTTGTTATCTGGCACAGGTTCCCAGGTTACCCTTTACAGACTGTGAGCAGTAAGAATGCATTAGTTTGTAGCACAATTCTGGAGCCAAAGATGCTTGGATTTGAGTTCTGTGTGACTCCTTTTAGCTACATGACTTTGGACAAGTGACTTAACCTCCATGAGCCTCAGTTTCCTTGTTAGTAGAATGAGGGGGAGAAGGGCACTAAGAGCACAGTAACCTGACATGATATGTAAAGATTAAATAAGATATGCAAAGCCCCTAACACAACTCAATAAACAGATACCATTATTACTGTCTGCCCCCTAGGGTGGTTGTGAGGATTAAATGAGAGAGTAATGTTGAGCACTTTGGACAGTACCTTGCAAAGGAGGCACTCAATAAGTATCATGTAAGTAAACGAGTGAATGAACAGGCCTATTGTTACCCTTTTATCAGAAAGTTGCTTCCTCTCCTTTTTACAATCTCAGTGCCATTTTTGTAACAGATTACCTAGTTCCCTTGGCTTTACTTTCTGTTTCTTTCCACAGTCGAACAAAGCCTTTCTCTTTTTACCCCAGGATTCTTCACTTTCCCTCCATGGTTTCTAGATTTGAAGGATTTAGTCCTTCCCTCTGCTCTTCTAGGCATCACAAAAGATTGCCCCTCTCTTTTCTACAAGCTCACACACTTCCCAAAACAGTTTCCTCTGCATAACCTACCAGTCTGCACAACGCTGAGCCGGATCTCCCCAACCAGCCCATCAACATCAGGTGGGTTCTTCACCTGGCAGGTATATGTTCCATTGTCATCAAACTGCAGCTTCCAAAGGATGATGGAGACATCATAGCGCTCGGGGTTCCCGTCCCAGACTACCCGGTCCTTGAACCGTCCACTCATGGGTTTGAAGGGATCCACATGGTAATAGAATACCTAGAAAGGAGAATTGGCAAAAGGTCTTACTCAGTGCCTGGGCAAGGAGGCTGAGAGGGTGGAGGCGGAAGCATCAGCATGCCTCACTGCCCTATCTGCAGCTCTCTTGCAAGAACTCCTTTATGTCCCTTTCACTGGCCTCTCAGTCTCAGTTCTGTCAGTCTCTGTCCCAAGAATTGTTTCCCAGCTTTACCCTCTGCTTGCTTAAAAAAAATAGGAAGAAAGAAAGAAAGAGTGCAGGAAGGGCAAAGAGAAAGAGACAGGCTTATTTTCATAACTAAAGATCCCCCAGAAAATGACAATAATCTACTTACAAACTGCTCAGACCCCCCATCTTGGGGACGGAAATTCCAAGTCACTGTCAGAGCATCACCTACAGGGGCAAAACTGGAAAAAGTGCATTTTAACCGAACATCTGTCCCATTAACAGCCTCCAGCACTCCAGAGGTGTAAATTTCCACAGCTGCTATAGGCCAAAGAGCTGCAATAAAGAAAAGGAAAAGCAGGGTTAACAGGGGATGTGTATAAAGAGAACTTCTGCTAACTCAACCAAAATAAATGATTGAGTAGGGGATAAAACTGAAATGACCTGGCTCTGGTACTTTTTTTCACCCAGAGTCTGCATGCCTACCTATACGCTACCTGGGCACTCCCCTTCTGTGTAATAACTAAAAATACCTGACAGTGAAACTTCTTAGTGCTCTCACTTTCTCCACAGCATGATACACTAGCCTCATGGTACCCACTTCAAAATTACAAATATCAGCAAATAAAAATTGAAAGCAGAAACAAAATATCTAATCAAAATATGAATTACACATGTACGCAAGTTAAGCATTCTGTATCATGTGTGTAATGGCTCTTTAAGAGGTTAAGTTTTCCAGAAAATGTCCTTGTTATGTGGATTTTGAACTATTCCTAGTCTTCTGCAGAAGTTAATCAACCTCAGAAAGCTTATGCTTGCCTGAACTCCTGAAACCTTATACGATGCAGCATTTTTTACCGTGATATTTACATTTAGAATGTGTGCGCTGGGTCAGTTTCAAAACCACAGTGGATTTCTCTCCTTAACAATTTTGGCCTTCCCAGTGCTACTGAGAATCCCAGACAAGACTCACACACAGAAATCCAAATGCCAAGTCCTGCCTGCAGTGAGAGATTGAAAGTAGCCACAAAAGAATGGTTTGTAACCTGAGATTTGAAAGCCTTCTCTGTGCCTGAATCACTGGCAGCTGAAACACACCTAAACCTGTTTGTCCAAAAGCAGTTCCCCCAAAACAAGTCACCAACTTTGGTTTCAGTAAAGTCAAAACTAAACTGAACTGCAACTGTGGTTCAGGCTCACAAACAAAACAAAACAAAACAAAAACAAAAACAAAACAGAAAAAATTTTAAAACACCTCTTGTCACTTCCTAGACAATTGGCTAACTTTCCAGGGTAGGCAATGAGGGAGGAAATGCTGAGGGAAGCCCACCAGCCCTTACCTGTGAGCTGTATGCCAAGAAGAAGCACAGCACGCGTAAGGCTCTTGCCATACATGAGGGAAACCCAGCCCTGACCCGAGAGACCAGACAAGGCAGACTGAGGGCTCCAGCACCCTCCCAAGGCCATTTCTAAGGAGCGAGCACCCGAGTTTTCCCAGAGAGAGAAGTCAAGTCTCTCTCTCTGAGCGCCTAAGTCTGTGACTCATCCCTGCTCGGCGGGTGCACTTTGCTGGAATGAAAGGTGGGGCCTCAGCTCCCAACGCCCTCCTTCCTTCACTCTCTCCCGCCCTCTACACTATGAGCATGTCTGCACAAAGTCCCAAACTCTGCAGTCTGCTCTTTACTTTTTAGTTAATCTGGCCTCTGGCCTCTGGATGGCCTCAGAAACAACCAGAGGAGGAGGTGCCAGTCTGAAATGTCCAGGCTGCATTGGATTTAGCCCAGACACACTTTTTTTAAAAACAGGCTTTAGCCTTGCCTGGGAAGTGCATGTTCAAACTAACTTGCAGTGATTTAACTTGCCAAAGCACCTTCCTAGGGCTAACTAGGACTGGATTCACAACTCAAATCAGGATTCCTTAGCACCTTCTGTGGACAAAAAGTCCTACAGTTTATACCCTCAATTTTAGCCAAATGTTACCACAAGGATTTCTGAGCCTTTTCTAGCTTGTAGTTTTCCCTAAGATACACCTAAAATAAACTGACCAAAACAAATCTTAATGTTTAATGATCATTTACCTTTGAAAGATTTAAAGAAAAATCAAGATATCATCCATGCTCATTTACCCTACCATCTCAATACAGCTTGCAAAGTGCTTTTCTGTTTGTCGTTTCATCTCTGTAATACTCCCATGGGGTGTTCCCATTTTACCAGTGAGGATACCCAGAGCCCAGAGGAGGTAAGTGATTTGCCCAAGGTTGTAATGGGGGAACTCAAGAGTTAAAAATTTTTAGCTTTAGTTATATTTAACAGGTTTAGTGATCAATGCATGTGGAAAGCTGTTGTTCCAGGAACTGGAATGCATGACCAGACATATACTGACTCCAGGAGGCCTGCAAGCAATTCAACTTTTGTGCCCCAGGAGGACTGCAAGTGATCAAGATGGTATCTGAGCCTTTGTGCTCCAGAAAGAGAATGTCTGCTGACCAGAATGCAGATAAAGAATTGCTGGTCAGCAGATGAAGGGATGCTCAGAAAATTGCTGGACGACAACTTTCATCTCATTAATCTTTTTCCTGAATTCCAAACCTGTTACATACCCTTTTGCTTTCTTTATAAAAAAGGTTGGCTTGAGATGAGACATCAAGAAGTTTTTTAGGGTACATAACCCACTGTCTTCTCTGATTGCTGGAATCTGAGTAAAGTGCCCAAAAAGATTCAGTCTTTGTCTCTAAGTATTGGTTCTGATAGTGACAGGCAACATGAATGCTAACTTTTCCAGTTTCATATTCTGGTGACTGTGGTGGGACTGCTTTGGGATTCTCCAGTAAGTCTGGGTATTTGACAGGGAATCCTGCTGGTTGCGTGGGCTGGAGGGGCCCTGGGGTATAGATTTGGAGACCCCCTAGCAGCTGCCAAGTGATTTCATTTGGGGAATCTCCTTCTCCAACTCTTGGCACTCCCTATTCACCTTCACTTTCAATTGAATTGCTGTGCTTTCTAGTTCAGGATTACAGTTCCAGGCTATGACTTAGGTCAATCATTAGGAATTAAGGTGCCTTCTGGTTTATGTGATATTACAGAACTCTGTCTTGTAGAATGAGGGGGAGCCTCCATTCTGGGAAACAGATTTTTGGGGCAAATTTTGGCTGATTTGTTGACTTCTGCTTATGAACCTATGACTAAAAAGAATGATTTTTTTTTATTGTAATACTGTTTGGCTTATTTATATTCTGGACTCAGGAGAGTACTGGTCACTGAAAGCATCTTTAAATTACTATACTATAATGCAATTAGAGTTGTTTTGTCAAAGATTAGGGAAATAGGATGAAATACCTTATGTACAGGTTTTTATGGCTTTGCATAATAAAGATGCAAGATTAAAAAAGAAATAGGTTAATGGTTCAGAGAAAAGGAAATTTGGCTGTGGTGGATAGTAGATGCTCAGGAGAGAGCAACGAGGAAGAACAGGATGTTATGGCTGCTGCGAGCATGGTCAGGGTTCCCACAGCCCCTCCAGCCCCAGGGGATTTTCCTCCTCTCTCAGCTGAGGGAGCCAGAGGAGGTGAGCCTGAACTGATCTCTCTGTTCCAAACCCATCAAGGTACCAATTTCAGTGGAGGACAATCCCCTACCAGGGCAGGGCAATACCCTTTGAGAAGACCTCCAGCGGGAGTAGAGCCAGAGAGCCAGCTCTCTGGATTTTATTGGGCATGTGCTCCATTTTCTACATCAGATTTGTCAAACTGAGAATACTTAAATCCTTCTTATAGGGATGATCATACTAAAATAACTGACTTAGTTATGTCAGTTTTTGCTACCCACCATCCCAATTGGGCAGACATTCAAACCTTGCTGAATATTTTGCTCATGGGGGATGATTAGAGGTTGATAATTGGATAGGCAAATTAAGAGGCTCAGAGGAGACTGCACCAAAAAAATCCAGATGGAGCCCCCAACCCTACTAAGGCAATACCTTCAATCAAGCCCAAATGGGACCCTAATGAGAATGGCCTTCCTCTCTTACAACACTATAAGAGGTGCATTCTTGAGGGACTGAGGAGAGGAGTCCCTAAGCAGGAAAGTCTGAATATTGTTCAGGCGGTACAACAAAAGTCCACAGAGGACTCCTCAGAGCTTCTTGAAAGAATCTAGCAGGCCTGCCCCGATGGTGTGGCTCAGTGGCTTGGGCATCATCCCACAAACCAGAAGGTTGCTAGTTCAATTCCTGGTCAGGGCACATGACTGGGTTGTGGGCCAGGTCCCTGTGTGGGGGCGTGCAGGAGACAACTGATGGATGTTTCTCTCACACATCAATATTTCTTTCCCTCTCTTTCTCCTTCTCTTCTCTTTGCTCTAAAAATAAATAAAATTATTTTTAAAAAATATACCAAGTCTATAGAAAATATACTGATTTGGATCCATGAGCCCCTGAAAATACTAGAATGGTGAATTTGATCTTTATCTCTCAAAGTGCACCTGACATCAGAAAGAAACTTCAGAAGTTAGAGTGAGGAATAGGCAAGAATCCTTCCCAATTAGTACACATTGCCTTAAAAGTTTATAATAACAGAGAACAGAAAAAGGCCCAACTAGTCACTATTTTCTTGGAACAGGCCTCAGGGAAATTACACTGGCAAGCAAGAGGATTCTGACCCCTGTCTAAAATGTTCGCCACTGATCAATGCATATATTGCAAAAGAAAGGGGCACTAGAAAAATGAATGCCTCAGGTGAGGGAAAGGAAGTCAGAGTTTGAGAACTCGACAGTTATGCTGGGGAAAGGAAACCACTCTGACAATGAATGTTCAATTATTAAAACAACCTCTTGAAGTCAAACCGCCCCCAGGAACCTCAAGTAAACTAACAGTGGGAGAACGCTGTTTGTAGACTTTTTGATTGATACTAGAATGCCATATTCAATGGTCAGTAGAACTCTGAGTCCTCATGGCAGACTGACTGTAACTGGAATCTCTGAAGCCCTGAAAGCCAATTTTTCTTGAAGCCATTAGAATGTGCTGTGGGAGATATGGTTTTAACTCATAAATTTTCATACATTGCTAAGTGTCAAATTCCTACTCTGGAAGGGGACTTGCTATCCAAATCCATACAGAAATCACTTTCTCTCCAGAAGAACAACAGCTGTACCTACAGGTCCCTCCAGAGCACACCTGGCAGTTCCTTATGAAACCAAGGGAAGAAGAAAAGTGACCATGTCCAGAACAATTTAAGAATCAGTAAACTCCATTGTGTGGACTTCTGGAAAGCAAGGGAGGGCTAAGTGAGCATCCTGTGTTAAAGTTGACCTCAAACCAGGAGTGGGGATTCCCAGTAAGAGGCTATAATGCTTGTGGAAAGAGACCCTTGAAGGAATCTGCCCAGTAATTCAGAAATTTCAGGAATATGGATTTATTCAGCCCTGCTATTCCCCGTAAAATACATCCACATTGCCTGTTAAGAAGCCCCACTGAGAGCACATGGAGAATAGGACGCCCAGGGACCAGCTATACAGGGAGCCATATAGAAACTCTTAAAAGAGGGGCTGAGGTGAGATCAGAGGCTTGGCAGAGACACAGGTCTTCCACACCTGTGTGCACAGGCAGGGCACAGAAGCTTTGCTAACCAAAAACTCAGAGGCAGAGAACACCGAAGGTACGGGAGGACCTTACCCAGCAGGGCCGATGAGCAGAGGGCAGCTCAGACTGGAGAACTCGGGTTGAACTTTCTGCAAGAGAGCAGCAGGCTTAGGTCTGGAAGACAGGAACTGAATGTCTGAGATTTGCTACAGTCAGCCAGGCAAACCCAACCCCTACCTGCGTGATTACAGGCTCCGCAGATCAGTGAGGCCAAGTTCAGGAGTTTTCTGCTACATACATCTCCTCAGAGGAAAGAAGAAAAAGTGCTGATAGGGCCCTTTGCCAGACACTATGTGCAACACAGTTCCTCAGGCCCTGACCTACTGAACCCAGCAGAGCATAGCAAATAGAGACAGGTGCAAAAAGGTGCTATCTTCTCTCCTGCATAGCTGTTTAACATTCATTTCGTATCCTTCAAGTCTGGATATAATATGACACCAGGTTTTATCACATAGTATACTTCAAATCTCATATATTGTTCTTCCCTTCTCTTACTCCATACTACTTTCTTCCTCCCTCTTCATATTTTTGTTTTAAGCTCTATTTTCTCTCTTAATATGATTTGTTTCTATTCTGCACTCTTACTATTGCTCCCCACCCAAGCCTCTCAAAACCATTTGTGATTGCCATTAGTCATTTCACTTTCCTTTTCCCATTCTTAAAATACCTTTTCTCTCTCTCCACCTTTATCAGTCTTTGCTCATAGGTTGTGGGTAAGGGGGTTGTTTTTACAGTTCTTTAATCTTATTTCTAGATAGTCACTATCTTTCTATGTCAAATCTCAAATTTCACCGTTACCCTCTACTACTCCATTTTGTCTTCCTCCTGCCCTTTCCTTTTTTTTTTTTTTTTGTTTTAAATGTTCACCTTTCCCTGTCTTAGCTGGATTTTCA